ACCGACTTTCCACAAGTGCTTCCTAACTGACATTATCTGGCCCAGTAATTAAGTACTATAAGAAATAAAATTATTTATTCGTCTCGAAGCACTACATGAATAAAAAACTTACAATGGTGTGATAACAAGAGTGTCAGAGAAATCATCCATACCATCAGTATCCATCTTACAGCAGAATTTCCTTATTATTATCCAATACCTTCCTAAAAATTCATCCAAATAACGCACACTTCTCCTTCTCAAAGATTTGCAGTATTAAAAGCGCTGAAACGTCTAAACATTCATTCCACTCGCGAACCCCGCCCAATATCTCTCCCGCTATAACTTTTAGCACCCTACAGTCTTTAGTTCCTTGAGCAGTTCAACAGCTCGACCTCCCGCACCTCAACAAACCTCTAGGAGCATCCTCAGGTCTTTTTGAATAGACTGCCCCCTCCACATGATGGCCAGTGTGCAATGCCTCGTCCCAACCCCATCCCTTCTACACTCCACACTCTCCACAAATCACAAAACAGTTCCGCTTCGATCGAACAATCCAGTTTGTCTGGATTGCTCACTGTTTACCTTCATAGTATGCGATAAAAAGTTCCATTAAACCAAAATATTTATGCCGAATATATTCCATATACGTATATATATGTATATACACATACATATATTACACAAAGGCGAAAAACTAAAATCGAAAAAGGTCTCGACCAAATGATCGCTATAATGGCAATAAATCATAAAAACTAAGCAAGATTACCGGAAAACTAATTAAGTCATGCAAGGATCCACGACAAAAATAAGTAAAAGTTTCGCGATCGACATAAGAAAGGACAAACAAAATTGTTGACAACCTTAGCCCGACGGAAATTATGGAGTTAAATAATAAACAATGAGAGTATAATGACAAAACATCAAACAAGTAGCACACAAACATAGACATAAACATACATACACATACAGATAGTAAAACGTCACTGCAGAATTATAGAGAAAATAATGGTGAGTGTAAATTGCTACAAGTTAGTCACCAATCATCAAAATGTATGATAAAAACAACAGTAACGCACAGTTCTCAAAGATAAACGAAACAACACTGATATTTGGACCAATGCAATTCTATAAATTAGTAATCGTATTCATAAGAAACAATAGTAATACTGTGCCGTGAAACATATGTAACAATGAGGTCGACACTGCGAAAGTACAGCTTTTGTTCAAGTTTTATTCTCGAAAAAGTAAGAATATCGATAATAAATAAGTGGATTAAAACTAGAATTTCAACATTTCAACGGCATATTCACATAACATACAATTACCATCACAAACACAGAAAAAACTGATAGAAGCATAAATTTAAACATGTAGTAATTGTACTATTCAATCAGCCATTCTTGTGTAATAGATGAACAGTAACTAATGCTAATGCAACATTAAGCTGCAAGAAAAGTTGTGATGACTTTATGAAATATTACATTGAAATAATTATTTTACGGAGAAAAAAGTGTTAGACCTGAATAAATGAATAAAAATGTAAACAAAATAGTTGTAAAATCATTATACATGCGCTTAACCTGCATTAAGAATCAGAAGAATACGAAGTTAGGACACTGGCAGATATAGCAATGCCAATCGAGTGTCACTGATTCAAATATCCATAAATTGTAGCGTAATTGTGATAACAAACACATAAAAACGCGATAAATGAAACTGGGAAAGGAATAACTGAAATTCAATTACTACAAAGATTGTAATCAGGTGCAAATATATAATGAATCAGCACCATGAATAGTTGTGCTTTGATTACAAAGATTGGGCGTAGAAGCGCTACAGTAAGAATACTTATAAATATCCTTGTTCATGAAATATGAACAAGTTTAGAGGGATGTTCATATGAACATACGAACATCTCTCTAAACTCCTTACATCATTTTTCTCTTTATCTGAGCATAATAGCTTGCAATAAATCAGAGGGAAATGAGAAATAATGTAGGAAGACCCCTCAAGAGGAATACAATACACGGAATACAATGAAAAGGAATAAAACAAAAACAGAATTAACGGAATTTGATTCAAGATGTACTATCGTCTGGCACTGAATATTTGATTTCGTTCGGTCCGATTCTCGATTCTGATATGGAATAAGTACAGATCAGAAAATGCGTCATTCAATTAACTATTGTGTATTATATACAGATGAAATGTGTGGACGATGGATCACTTGAAAAACATGCCAAATTTTTAAATGAGAAAAATTTAGGATTCTAGGACGGTTTAAATGCATAATATAATACGAACTATTGAAAACAAAATGAAGGCAAAAATTTGACAAAAACGAAAGTGACAAAAAGGTAACACAATACATTCGGCAAACAAATTCCGTAACAAATACAAGATTCTGGAGGATAGCAGTGATTTTAATCAGAAAAAGATAATAATGACCACTTTATAACTAGATTTCATACAAGTGATAACCAAAATCGATTTGATGGAAATAGACTGTATAATTTTATACTGTCTATATGCAATAATAGCAGTGTAATAAGACCGAAAAGGAATCTGTACAATAGAAAGAAATACAAATAAAGTAGTACAAATGACAAAAAAACAGGTCCCACACAAAGAAAAATGAGAAATCTATACTGCAGTAATAAGAATACAACAAAGCGAATACACCTGACCAGGAATTTTAAAAAGCTTTAAGAAAACATGGAAATGGAAGTATGAATAGGTGAATAGGTTCCTCTTGAGAAAGTAAAGCAAAAAGAATGTCGCAATTTTCCTACTAGGTATGAATTGAAGAATTGATTTTGATATGGGAATATCACAAGAATAGAGCTTTATGATAGCACCAAAACAGTTTAAGTTAAGAACGAAATTCCACGTTATGCATTTTATTCAATAAAAAATTAAGTAAGCCATCTAGTCCACTTCCAATACAAAAACTCTTTAGGTATAACTTTCTCCTTTCAAACAATACCAGTGACACTGGTCGATTAAATCCAATCCATAAAATTGCAAAATTTCGATTAGCTATTTTAAATTGAAAACGAATTTGATCAAATGCAATGCATGTATGGAAGATGAATACGACTAAGTCATACCTTTTATATCATCTATATTGTAAGGTATCATGAAACACGTGTGTGATGAAACAAAAATCGTAACCCATCTTAAGAGCGTTTTTAAACTATACCGCATAGATCATGACTTCAAGATGAATTAGAAGATAACTAGCTAGAGCACATAAAATATAATTAAAATACAAGATAGATATGCGGTCACTTGCTCGGTGCTTGGGAACATCAAATTAATCTTCAAAAAAAAAAGATCTTTTTTAAACAACTTAACCTTTTTTGATATATCACTTCCTGAATCACCACACTGCCATGTGCAACTGCACTAAACAATTTCCATAATATCGAGAACTAACAAAGCATTCTCCACTGCAACAGGAATCTTTATCAAATAAGATTTTAGCTTGTTCTTTGGAAACTCCCCCAAATTAAGATTGATATGGACAATTATAAAATATCGTTAAACAATCAAATCACAGACATTCGAGGATAATGACATTAAAACATACATTTCATTGCATTATAAGGAAAACCTTACATATGGAACAATCGTGAATCAAAAAAGAAAAACAGTGGACAAATCTTAAACCTTGATCAGTTGACAAAATTACATATTGGGTAAAGAATGTGATATTAAATTTAAAAAACGACCAAATAAGGATGCCGAAGCCATATTATGACAAAGAAATAGTAGAATGAATTCGCTATTTTTCTATGAAAAACAAGGCGCTCCTTCTATTTACAAAATTGAACATCAGAGAGGCTATATCAAGATTTCTTTACACGCGCCAACAAACAAAAGTTCTGCATGGATAAAAGTTAACAATACAATCAACAAAAGTTATCTTCTGTACAACTAAAATCACTTCGACCACTTCAGTGTCATATTTAAATGATACTAGACCAGTCCTTTCAAAATTCCATTTCAATCTCAGTGATGATCTCAGTCTTTCTTTTATTGCTCTACACATATGAGACATTTCGATTTAGGAGATTCGCGTCCTTCAATTTATTCCTGCTTTTTTCCTCTCATTTACGTGTATATTTCAAGAGATTGAAATATACCAATATTGCTGGCATAATTTATATTACATTATAAACTGAATTCAAAATTCACATCAATAAAAAATAAAGCAGTAGGTAGTATCGGGGCATGAAGAATACAAAATCAAATCAACAGAAAAGTAAAAGGTTAGGATGAAAAAAAATGGATAGGCAAGCAGACGAATCATAACAATAATACATATCTGTACATATTCCGGGAAAACGAGTATAGAAAACACATTCCTGGACACAAAGACTTTGTTCGAAGAAAGCTGAATAGATGGAAGAGAACAAAGATAATGAGAGTATTAAAAGTACGGGAATACACCGTAGCACATAGCATTCTTGCACTAAATTCAGCAACTCATATATTTCGTATTTATTACGATCTATTATTGAGTGGGAGACCATTAATCCATTCTTCTATAATGACAACAGAAGAATGATTGAGTGTATTACTGCGCAACACATACAATGCAATAAATAAGAAACGTATTTTACAACATATCAGTAACTGTGCCTTAAAAAGACTTTAGAAAATTAAAATTTGTTAGTGCACTATTTTACAGAATTATAAATTGACTAAACATGGACATGAGAGCGAAGATCTGACACAAAAATGCAATAGAACACATATGTATTTTCAAACATTCGCTTCGTGTACTTTTTGCAAAAGAACGCAGTTATCGTAAATCAGTGGCACATTATTACGTTAAAACCTCACACATAAATAGTACACAGAGCGGTAATCAAATCAACAAACAAATAAATCTCAAGAAGTACAAAACTAAGAATATCGTTCTGAGTGTCGCAACCCACTAGAACACATTAACTTCACAAAATTCTTACCGTAGTATGTCGTACCAACGAAAGATATTACCTTTCGTCATATTAAAAGGGCCGTGAAAGATCACTAGCTGTATCAGCTGCATGAAAAGGAGGTTGCTGTGGTAGTGCATCAGTATTATTAGATGCACAGTTTGGTAGTAATGTTGCAACCGTACCGGCACTAAACATCCATTGTTCCGTTGTTGTTCCAGTCGCTCCCAAAGGGCCACCATATGACAGTGCAGCCCGTGGTTTTAGTAATCGATCCATTTCCGATTCTGTCACAGTTTTTACTTGCACTGTAAAACTACTTTTCTTTCTTAAGTAAATAACTAAGAGCTTCACTGAATGATTCAAACAATAAGCATTAAGGATTAAGGGGATATGGCAGTCAAGCTTTTAAGTTCGAAGTAAAACTTGGCAAGAAAGGTCAAACAGTTTTTTGTGCTAAATCAATTTAATAACTTAATAACTAAATAAATAAATTCTTGATCAACTTATTTCTCAAAAAAGAAAAAATCTCTATTGAATTTAAAGCTTCTAACGTAGTTAAGGACAGAATTTCAAAACAAATTATTTCAATAAAGAAAATGATAAATTATTTACAAAATGGTGCTTCTGTTTTCATCCGTCGAATAATTTCCTCAGCAGGCTCCATGAATTTAACACACAGAAATGGAGCACCATGTGGACAAAATGCATGCACTACTTGGCCCACTTTCTGACATAACATTTGTATTTGTTTCTCGTTCTGAAAATTAGGGACCGACGAATAAGTAAGGAATCTGGATATGAATAGAGATATATATCCGGAAGGTAGTTTTGATAAAAATAAGGCATTATGAAGAAAAACATCACAAAACATTGCATTGCTATATATTAATTAAACAGATATATATCCATAAACAATTAACTTACCACTCCATGTAGTTGCACGAAAACCCATTGATGCTGCTGCGGCTGTTGAAGACCAAACGGACTTAAATTGGAACGCTGATAAGGCCCTACACTTAGTCCAGAGCTACCTACGGGTCCGCCTCGTACTGCTGTATGTCCAAATGGCCCGATTCCTGTTAACCCAGATGCAATACGAGACTGTCGGACAGCAGCGGTAGTCACTGAGGGCCACATGTCACTGGCAGCAAAAGCAGCTGGGTTAGCAGTACCACTGTTCCATCCTAAGTAACCAGCACTTGGACTCTAAAAAAATAGTTGCTTAACAAAATAAAAACACAAAGGAAGAATACTGTTTCAAACTTGGAACAATTTAAAATTATTAAGGGAGATATATTGAAAAAGATTTAAAATTGGCTGAAGAAAACCGTGCAATAAAAGATAGATCCAGACCTCAATTATGTTATACTGTCAGATATTTTTTAATCGAATCATTGGATTTTTCTCGCTAATTCTATTACTGCCGGACAACAGAATTATGGACTCTATGTGGAAACATAACATATTAAGAACAAACATACACATTAAACAATAAAATGATGGTGCAAAAATAATTTACCCTGTTAATAGTCTGCAGATCATTTAAATAATTAGCTGTTGTAGTTACAGCACTTGATGAATTAGTAATCGCGCTACCTTGTGGTGAGCTGTTATTAGCACTACTACCATATAAATAAAAAGGTTGAGCGGCGGAGCCTGTTGTCAGCAGTGGATTTGGTTTACATGTACCTGGAGTTGCATTCGGGTCTTCTGCTACCTGAAAACAATGAATGGGAACTTCAGAAAGAAGTCATTGAAAAAAACAGCACATCAAAGATACTAAAATAATAATGAACGGGTCCAATTTCAGAGTAGGAAAAGACATCAATGTTTAGTTTTTGGGCTTTAGTTTGCAAAATTATTTTAAGCAAAAATGGAATTCTACCTTATTGGGATCTCTCCATTCCCATTTCTTCCCCGGAACAAATTCCTGCGGTCCATCATCGACTGAAGCCATTTGAGCTTGTGTCTGACTCTGCTGGGGTGTTGGAGTACCATTACAAGACTGATTAGTTGATGACGATGCTCCTTGGTGTTGTTTCTCATTGGAACTGCTTGGATCATCTTTATCAGTGATATCGGCAGCTGCAAATACGCAAATGATTAAGATTATCAATATTTCGTCGGATATCCTTCCTAGTCTGTTGACAACCAAATGAAGAGATAGGATATAAGTTTCCATATACATCATATCACTTTAGTAGATAAGAAAACATTATACCGATTACAATTGTTATGTATCTTGATGACTAGAGCACGAAAAATAAATTAAAAATACACTCATTTCTTACCTTTATCACTAGTTCCGGACGGTGGCGGCGACCAATCCAGACTACCAACTTTCCAGTCAATTTTTCCGTCTATTGTCAATAACTGTGTGCCAGTAATGAGACCCGAAACGTTCGGATCTGATGAAGGTGCACACATCTAGAAAAGCCGCTTTATTGATATAGAACTATATTGGGCTTCAGAACAAAGCTGTCAAAAGAAAATCATCATATGAACCTTTGGTTGTAATGAGATTGTATGCAAGTATAGATAATCAATACTAACTGTACAGCTCGAACTAAAAAAAAAATTTTTTTTCTCGTAAATTTCACGAACATTTACTAACTAACCTTTTCACTGTTGCAGTCTTGCGCATTCGCTGCATTCGCCTGTTTCCACTGCTGTAGACGGCTCTGTCCATCTTGCTGCTGCACAGGCGCTAAAGTGCCATTAATTAGAGCATTTGAACGAACTGAAAAAGATTAAAATAGGTCACAGAAGGAATTTACTTGACTAAAAAATACACACGAGGATTAATAATTGAGCTTCCAACCTTTCAATAATTGTTCATTTATTGAATTCCGCAACTGCACAATTTCATTCTGTAAACCGTTTATTTCCACTGCTAAACGTTCCGATTCAACCTAAAATTTGATTGTCATATTTGATTGCATAGAACTAGCAGCTTTATCTTGAATGTTTGTTAATCTTTCGCCATATAGACTAAATATGTGATACATAGAATGATTTCATCTGCAATAAGAAATGTTTATAAATACACTCCCACCTTCTGTGCTGGACTACTCATTGCGCGCATAACTTGCTGATATTCTTGCTGAGCTTGCTCGAGCTTAGGGAACTTTTGAAGAAGAGCGTTTAAGATAACCAGGGCACTCTGCGGCAATGGACGATTAAGCATCGAAACATCTATTAAGCCTTTATTAACTGCGATACGGATCTGTAAAAATTTTTAAATGAACAAATGTAAAAAATTGTTTGAAAAGTGATTGTAATGAGGCATTTTTGGGTGAAAGTGATCATAAGAATTCCTTCAGATGAAAACACCAAGTAATGCTATTGCTAAAACGTTGTTCAGTATTACTTGCATAATGCATAATTGTGACAATCAAATGTTTCCTAAGAGCAATTGATTTAAATCATACCCGATCAGCAATCTGTTGTGTAAGTGAAGTGTACGGTGCTGTTCCTGCAATAGCACCACTTCCAATATCAGGTCGAACAACTGCATTATCCAGTAAACCATGCATTCCAATGCCACCCACAGAAGGAGGCCCAGATACCTGAAAAGAAATACTGAAGTCTGTAAAATCAAAACTGACATGCTTTTCTTCCTCATCCTCTCAATAATTCGAGGGTATCGGGTGCGATAAAACAATGACAACCAATTCTTTTAAAATTAAAGAATAAAAGTCACAAACATTCGCAATAGAAAGTAAATCATGAATTTATGTCACAAATCATTAAAAGATCTGGTAAATGGTGGTTATCACCGACACTATCGACAATATCAAGCTGGAAAATTACAAAATTCAAAACAGTTGAAAGAAAACTGAAAATAAGCGAAGTTTGACAAAATTATTGAACATATAAAACATTAACCTTATCACCCCATGCACTGGGCTGTTGCTGCCATCGTTCTTGGTGTCCCGATGACGAAGGCTCTGGATGAGAACCTATAGAAACACATATTTGGAAAAAAGATACAAACTGAATAAGGCGGTGCAAATGAGATGCTAGTCTGAGAACTTCTCAGATATCAAAAATGCAAATAAAAAATTCTGTAAATTCAAGCAGCAAACTCTTACCATCTGGCCACGGTCCATTACCAGTTGTAGTTGGAGTTGAAACGTTTGTTCCAGTTGCTGAACAGCAGGAACTCGTTGCATGTCCTATACCGGGACCACCCATTATGGTACCATTGACGCCCGTACAAACGGTAGTACCGTTTGATGATATTGCAATGATGTTCCAGTCACCGCCGCTCGGTATTGCACTTTGTATGTGGGAATAATCATCCACCTCAGCATCTTTCCAACGTTTTATTTCCTGGACCAAACATTTACGTCGAAGAAATGCAACAGGAAGTAACTTCAATATTAAGAATCGTAAAACGCAAAGAATTTTCAAACTCACTACAGGTTGTTGACTTGGATCACCCCAAATGGCAGTACCAGTATCACGTTGCACCTTCTTTTGCTTTGGGTTTGGATCGTGCCACATCATATCGTTATTCATTTCCTGCGGTTGTGGAGCAACCCACGGACCAGGCGTTTGAGGATTTGGGTCATACTGCAAAAGAAATTTTGAGACACTGGAGCAATGAGCTCCAATGATTTTAGGGTGCATATTTATGAGAGCTGGATAGAATGAAAGGAGAATAGAAAATTTTTTGAGAAAATAGTACGAGCTTTAAAAATTATAAGCCATACAAACAAAATTCAATTTGCAAAAAAAACATACAAAAAAAAATTGAAAATTTTTTCTCGTCGTAAATTGCTTAAAATAAACCTGCTCATTGAGATTTGGTAATGCAGAAGCTGATGGTTGCTGAAGTGTTGGATTTTGACCCCAAGCTGCTCCTACTTGTGGCGGCAGTGCTGCAGCTGCAGGATGAGCCGCTAATGTAGTGTTGGTCCACGGTGTTGCTGCATCGTGGCGATGATGTGCCACTGCCGCAGCAGCTACAACTGCTGCAGCCGTAGCCCAGTCGGGGCCCGTAGTGCTTGATGTACCTGCGGCATGTACTGGCCACTGAGTAACGGCTGCAAAGAAAAGATTTTATATACTTGACTTTAATAGATCTTAATGTGCAAATGAATAAAGCAAATTTAAAGTGATAAATGGAAAACCTACGTGGAGCCCAACGTGTATTCGCTGCTGCGGCTGATCCCCATTCCGTCGCTGATATTTTCGCATCAGTGGTACCATGTATATTGCCAAAGCCTGCCAAACTACTCGTATCCCAAGGAGTTTGCTGAACAAATACCAACTAATAACAAATGAATTTTTTTTAGATCTTTCTTAGAACTAAGTCTGGAAATAACAGTATTTCTTGAAGACAACAACTGACTTTTTGAAGTGGAAACAAAAGATCTGACAAATTAAATTATCAGTTCCTTCTTTAAATCACCTGATCTACTTTTACTTGGTTCCACTGCTGCTGTTGTTGGTCGTATCGTCCCTGCACTTGGCCTTGACCACCACGTCCGACCATATTTTTCTTTGCATGTTCGGCATATGTAGAAGCACCTGTCCCTGTATTTGGTGACGGTGTGCCTGGCCACTGTAATAAGCAATTTATATAAAGCTCAAGATCAAATATACAGTGCTAATATCAATATTAACAAAAAAAAAAAAATCTATGGTTTAAAGACCAGCTCGACACTTGTAGTACTAATTTTCATCCACTAGGATTAACAAGCTTTAACGCTCGAACAGTTGGAGCTCATGAATCCAGTACTATTATGTGCTTTAGTATTGAGCTTGAACGGTAGTTTACTTGTGCAGCAGCTGCGAGTGGCCATGGATGGGCTGGACTTGGACCACTCGCGACATGTGGTCCCCATTGTGCACTTTGTGTATTCCATTGCTGTGTTTGGTGATGATCAAGCCAACGCTGTTGATTCCCTACGCCTCCATGTTGATCCTTTACCCGTACACCTACAAATCATTTAAAAATTAAATGATTTTCATCATATCATCATAGTGGTGTCACAAATACAAACCACAAAGTATTAACAATTTTTTTAATATATTTGGCTCATCATAAACACACCAGTAGTTCGGTCAATTAAAATGATTAAACAAACTCACGAGTCCCGCTAATATTTCTAGGTACAAAGCCAATTCATTTGTAGTAATAATCAATAAATAAAAATATAATTCTGAAGCAGAGTTCAACATAACAGTATCCCTCTACACATTAATCCTCATTAGAGTAGATTTTATAGGTAAAGAGATCGATGTACACTAACCACTAAATGATGGCTGAGATCCTGTAGCAGTACCACTGCCAGAACCAGTCGATGAATTACCATTGCCGCCACTGGAACTAGACATTGCAGCAGGAGCGTTCGAATTTCTAATGCTGCTACCACTTCCACCAGGCCACATTTGTTGAGCTGCCAAAAATGTGAGAGTTTTAGCTTCACGTGCGTGTATAATTTTACTGTATCTGTTATTAAACCTAAAAATAACGGAGTTTGTTGACAAATAAACTACTGACAAATAGGTGACAGTACAATAACGGAAAACGCAGTTCCAAGAATTCAACTACAGTTCCTGTCCCCTAAATTGCTAAACGAAGCACTTAAGATAAATAAAATCAATGCGAACAAAGAGACTCAATCCTAAATTACTTTCACTCAAATCATTGCAAAAATACTAAGAAACACCAGTACGAAGATGAAACATGTTACTTATATGGATAAACAGTGAGAAGAAATTATCTGCAAGAGGAAAATACAAAATTCCACAAAAAAAAGAGTAAAATCTTAAAACACAGAAATTATTGCGAAAACAATCTGAAGGGCTACAATTTGGAGGGAATGCAACAGTAATTATGACATGGTCTGTTTTCCAGATACTGCGATATGTTCAAGATAAAGTGACACAGCAAGAAAACTGTTACTGACTGAAGAGGTCAGGTCAAATAACGAGTGACATACGAAAACTACCTATCGATTGGATAAGTTGAGGCAATCAATGACAATGGCAAAAACAGACAGGAAAGTCGACTTTGTAAGACTTAAGAAATGGAGTAAAAGTAATTGTATGGAGCTGAAAAACTGAACCAAAAATCATCCAATACAGTCATTCTAACAATACTTTTTTCCGTCCCATCAGTACAACACACTTCCCCGCCATGATATTACTCCCACTACACTTCATAGTTCTTACTATTTTCACTTGTTATGATGTTTCCCTGAATGTTTTTCTCTATTATTTCCTCTATAAGGTAGATTTGAGATTGCGACCTCTTTCTGCAGAAGTTAGAAAAGAACTTCTTTCCCAACTTTTGGCTTCTCTCATTTTACCATACATGCAGAAATACTCATCTCTTACGCATAACTTTTTTTGTCAGATATAACCTAAACTACAGATTGTTATGAGACATAAGTCATATCATATGAATATGAAATAATGCATGGAGTGATTTTTTTTGAAATAAATATTTAAAATCCTGTTGAGAAAAAGGAAAAGACTCAACTCCTGCTCCTCCTACGTTTTTCCCACATATATTTCATAATGGTTTACTTCGATATTGGTCAGTAATTTGACAACAGATAGACTGATAAATTACTGCAACCGCAGTTGTAGCTAGAGTGCAAGACAAGATACTACGTATAGTACGAGACAATGAATTAACAGTTAACTAGCACTGCGACAATTCACTGATAAGAGATGTAAACAGCATGACAGTATTATCTAAACACATTTACATTTCCATTCACTTTTATATCAACACAGGAAAACATTGATGTAATATACCGAATTAAAACTAATAAAAAGTAATGAATTAAATTTGGAGTGAAATAGAAGGGTGGAAAACATAAAGAACAATTTTTCCCTTTTACCAGTCAATAGCAACCGTAAAAACCAAGCAGTTCACTCATCAAATAAACCTTGTAAGATAGAGAAAAATATGAAGTAGAAGAAATACCGAGAAATAATAAGGGAAAGTGATAGAATCAGAAGATGGACACGGCTGCAATCATCTTTCAATTGCAAATGAAACACGTCACATACAATAATTACACGTTTTACACAGTTCATATGCAACACAGCAAAGACTGAAAATAGAGCAGTGACAGACTACTGTAACCTGATATACCCCGATACATAATCAATATTGGGTCAGTCAAGTACTTCAGCATATCACCCACCGATGCACTGGCCGTCACACACACGTACACACACACGCACACACACCTACACACATACACACACACAACTGAGATTATGTGCAGGAGATGTAAATAGTGAGCGCCTACGACATCAGCACACTCTGTCTCAGCCGCTGCCGCTGCTGCAGAGGCGATTTGAGTGGGTGTGCGTGTGTGTGTCTGTCTGTCTGCCTATCTGATGTTTATGTTTGCAGCACATTTGTCTGCTCTCTGCATGTTCCTGGCATATGTTGTCGGTGACATGCTTAGCTGATGTATGTGTCGTGTTATAGACAGACATTCAGTACGCCCACACCTACACGTACGCGAGATTCAGCTGCTGTTCAATCGATCTTATGTGTGTGTGTGCTGCTGAATGATTGATTGACGTACTGCAAGGACTATTTGAATACACTGAAGCACATTTGACCTTTGCTAGTAAATGACTCACTGTGCTATGTCATCCAAGGAGTGTACTGTGATGGTCGGTCATGCCACATAAATGACGTGTATAGACGTGCGACACTTTCCCTCCACTTATCATAAGCAACAGATCACCGAAGAAACATACGAATTGCTACGCATCTGTCCATCACCACACACACACACACACATACACACATACACATACACACATACACACACACACACATATCATCTAGCCGCCCACATCCATCAATGTGCATGTGACCTTCGCGCTTTCGCTGATCCTCGTGGAGGGAGTGGTAGTCAAAGGCACGTGACAAAATAAACATTCCCGTAGTGTTAGGGTAGCTTCGAGAGAGTAATAAATTATGCATAACTTCAAGCAGTCCTTCCAATTGCCGTCTTCAAAAAGAGAATCGAACCAGAAATTCGCTAAAAATTTGCAAAAAAAAAGTTTCATATTGTCAATGGTCTATAGATTAGCAACTTATCGAGAATTGATGATGGACACTTCTACTAGCAGTCAAAGCTTTTCCCGGGAACATATTCGGGTTGTTTATTTCTCATTGAACAAATAGCAAATTGAATTATTTCACAAAAATCAACGAGCAATTATTAACTTACGCATCTGAAACAAAGACAAAGCTTAGAAGAAAAGAGGGAGAGAGAGGTCAAAGCAGAAATGATACTATCGCAGGTATGAAAAAAGTAGGCAAGTGTGCAGTGCTGAATTCGCTAATCACATTTTGTTGACAAAAGATTGGCACAATATCACTAGGCCATAACATTCACCAGGCCATAACAGTATTAGCATCAGGGGCAAAGTGTTCTGTACTATGAATCTGATGAGAATTCTAAGCAGTAAACTAGACTATAAAGTATTACTGTAATAAATAGTTTATCAGTTTTGGTCTATATAGAAATTCCAGAGGGTAGTCCATAAATGATAGCTCAGATAATTTTATCAATAAAATCATTTGATCAAGAAGTGTTTTTCTAATTATTAGCTATCAATGCTTATCCCACCTACTTTTAAATGTCTTTAGTTGCTGATAAGCTGATATCGCTATCATTTTGTTATACAAAAGTAAAATTAAGCTCACTGAATGAGTAATACACAGAATGTCATTGCTATCATTTATTCAGTGTTATTTATTGATTGTCAAAACAATAATAATAATAATAATAATAATAATAACAAACCTAATTATAATCTCTGTAATCTACTGCTTCCTTTGCTGTAGTATCATATTTACATTCATAGCGATCAACTGCTATAGTGCACTTAATCAATAAATCTTTCTCATCGCAAAAAGTTTTTTAAACATTATTTGTTGAAGATGGAATTGTCAACGCATTGATATTTCAAAGCTAATCAATTGAGATTGCAGTGATATGTTACATTATTAAATGATACCTATTGCAAGCTAACCTTCCTCAGTAATCCTTTTATTGTTAACAAAACGTTATTGTTTATTCTTTTTTTTCTAGAATCAAACTTTACATATAACATTTTTTTTTTTTTTTGGTTGACATAGAACGAAAAATGATTTTATTTAATTTTTTTAGTTTTATTTAATGTCCTGTAAATCTTCGAGAGTATTTTCTTTATCAATTCCCATCATCTCCGAATCACCTCCCTCTGTTGATGGTCCTTCCTCCGTTGATGGTACTTCTTCCTTCACTGTTGATGACTAAAAGTAAAGTTCTCGAGAGTGAGTACTTCTCTGCACCTATCTATTGGCCATCAATGATGTAATGCCCATCTAAGAGTAAAGAAGACTCTAAAGCATTGTTATTCAAGTGAGTTCTGCCAGTCTCTTTTTAAATTTATAACAATCAAAAGAAGAATGATTTTCCGGAAAACAGCAGACCGAGTCTTTCTCCACTTGTTCATCCGGATTTCTATGTCTTTTAGGCATCACTTTACCAGCTACATCATCAAAATAGCGCCCACCGCTTTCCCAATCATATGGTGATTCATCTTTGATGCTATAAAAAAGAAAAGAGTGTCTAGAAGTTTGACTAACTCATCTCTTCCAATTATTTTCAAATTCAGATCTGTGATTTCGATCTAAGATATGACATATGGTTCGTTCCACAGCTGAACTTTTTATCTAAGATGTTTCAGTGCAACTATTTGCAAATTTTATTTTTAATTCATACTTTTTGCTTGATAAAGTATCATCAAATTTTTTAACGATAAATTCATAATTCGGCAAATCGTTATATTCAAGTCCCTTTAGATACGTATAAATTGTTGTGAAATTTCCAGGACATTGCTATAAACAGTCTGTTTCTTTTTTAAATACAATATAGTTGTTATGGATTCAGAATACAAAGTCATTATGCTACTATAATGCTTTCCAAGTCAGCCAGAAACTTTTTTTTTTGCGTTTACTAGAATTAGGAAATAAAATTTGAAATGATGAATAGAAGCTGTGCATTCATAAGATGACTTTCTCCAGCTTTAAATAGTGAAAATTTACGTTGAAAAGTTTTTTGTCTGGTATACTTGCTTTGACAGTGGCACACTCACGTCGATTCAGTCCTCGCCAAGGTAATTCACCAGTGATAAGCTCAACAATGGTATATATCAATGATATCAAGTCGTCGTGTCTACCTTGTTCTTTATGTTGGTGTACATTAATGGAACAATAACGAACGGTACCTCTAAAAGTTACCTGAAAAATTGGTTTCATTAATGTGAAAGAAAAAGAAATGAATGCCATCAATGTCTTTCAATTAGTATCATAAATTTCAAATTGTTCAAACTGAGCTATTATTCCAACATTTCTATATATCATTTTGTTGAAGATCGGAGGTTAACTGATTGTTTCCTTGAGATGTTATTGACAAAATACAAAAGCATCTCTTTAATTTAATGAATTTTTTTTGGTTTTAAGAAGAAATCTTATAAACTTTTTTTCTTGGCTCTCGAAGTTTCATTTCATTTGTTCCTTGTACCGGTAGAAAAATTTGTCGTGATAAGCCAAAATCAAATAAGAATAGAATTCGTTTTGTAGACGGTGTTGATCCGAGGGAAAGATTGAGCGGTTTCACATCACGGTGTATAAATCCAGTAGTATGCAAATCTTTCAGAGCCTAAAATAATTGCTAAATTAGAAAATCTGAGAATATGCTAGTCATATTGGACATTAAGGCAGAAGCAGTGACAAATATGAAGTAATGTCTTTCCCATAATTACTAGCATTTAAGCATAAATAAATAGAAAACTACAATCAAAACAAGTGGTTTTCAGGTTTGATAAGCTTCACTGATTCTTTTATTTCTTTGGTCAATGGGAAATAAGTAATGGTATAGGAACTAATCATAAGAACTGAATTACCTTCAATAACTCTCGAGGTGCCATTTTAGGTTAGGTCAGGGATTAGGTACTCAAATGGGTTTCTGTATTTAGCCTTCAGTGATTGCTTATGATAGTTTCAGCCCTGTTCCGTAAAACTGATGGGAGTGCTAATTAAATCAACGATCGTAATCCTAGTGATTACTATATTGTCATTACTAGTATTGTGGAATATCAAAAATATGCAAGGACAAATTAACCTACCTCGAGAGTTCAAATTGTCTCTAATATCATAGCAGGTTAAACTGATCATTTCACCTCTATATCAATGTTTTAATCATAGCTAAGCCAGAAAGCATACTTGTAATCCTTGTTTGCCTAATCTTAGGCTTGTGCTTGTAGTGAAACGTCTCGAAGGCATCATATATCGTAAATCACTGAGATTTCTACAAAACATCAAAAAGCGTTTTGATTATTCCATTGAATATTATTTGATTGAAAGGTTTATAATTATGCTGAAAAGGTTTGTAATTAGTAGTTCACGTGTTGACGTGGACGTGCTTACTTTCCGAGAAGTGACATTATCATATAATTAAAAGTGCTTGTACGGCCTGCACAAAATAACCGGCAAGCGTGTTTCGATTTTTGCATTTTTTTCAACACGAATACTTCCATTTTCAGTATCTCATCATTACTATTCATCATTAGTGGTTCCACTTTCATTGCTGCATGAGCCTGAAAATTTAGATGCAAATTGGATATAATAAGATCTTGGCTTCTTTGTATAACACTGCATCAGATTTATCGTTGAATAATGAAACCTTGAATTTCTTAAGTTTTGCGGTTCTTTTTTATCTCAAGAAAATTTAAATGAATCTAAAAACAATAGGCTGGTTAACTCATACTTTCGGATTTGAAATGTTGGCCAATAGGAAAACAGTACCGCAGCTGCCTTCACCCAATTTCTTTTTAATTGTCCATTGCTCTGCGATCACAGCACCAATTCTAATTTTTGGTTTCAAATTTAAATCTCCCATCACAATATCCTCTTTTTTCGATTCCTCGCAAAAGAGTTACCAAGGAATAATACACACCACAACACACTCACCAGCCGAATATTCTATCAATTACAAAATAATATTTACTCGTTTCCTTCAACTCTTTTTATACTAACAATATTTGCATATTATTTAAAAGATTTGATAAAAAATGAAAATCTCGTTTGTAATATGTCAAAAACTAATGAACTTAATCTTTTATGTTAAAACTATAATTAAGTGATCACATAATCATCATTAGATAACACTTTCATGCTATCCTTGGTGATAACAATGATAATTTTTTCTTATCCCCTCTTTATTCACTTTAGATGTTTCTCGGATATAATTATCGGTAATGTATATTGATCAGCACTTCAAAAGAATATCATTGTGCAAATTTATCAATAAATGTGTGTGTATGTGTATGTGTGTATGTATGTGTGTGTGTGTTTTCTATGGATTGAGAATTTCTTAAATGCAAAGTGTATGTCGCATAAGTATGAGTGGAACTTAAATTAGAGAATAGGTAGGAGCACGTGCATGTCACATTTCCATTCTATCTTTATTCCTACTACCTCCTTTCTTCTATTTCCTTTAATTTCTTAATCTCGAGATTTTCAAATCTTTGCACTTACCATTTCGCTTTCTTAGCTTTTTTCTTTTAAATGGCTTAGCATGCTTCTTTTCTTCTTTTTATGCCTCTTTTCATCTGAATTATATGCTAAATTTCCTTGTTTTTTTTTTTTAAATTTTTAACAGAAATGATAATTATACAAATATGAATGAGTCTATTGCACCTGCAAAAGGAATGTAAATAGACTAAAATTATCGATTAAGGCTTGACAAGCAAAAGAAGACATTCTGGACTCATTTAATTTCATCTCATTTTCTGTGCTGATTTGTCTTGTCTAGATCACAAATTTAAAGCTCTTTTGAACTATTAGTGTACTTTTGGATGGTTATGTGTTGTGTTCATCTATTTCAATTACACCTTCATTTCATCTTTCAAATATAAAAACATTTACTGTTGTATTCTGTTTTTTCTTCTTTTTTTTTTGAAATGATTAGACTTTATCAGTTGGTTATAGTATAATAAATTTAAAAATTGAAAAAAAAAAAAAAAAACCATTTCACTTAATGTTATGCACTACTTCGGTAGGTATAAATACAACAAAATTTTACTGAGATATTCAAAATACGATAACAAAAATGATAATGATAGTGATAACGTTAAGGTGAAGTGTACTTATCATAGCTATTGCTTTTGCTTTAAGCTTAGGTTAACAATTGACTGATGCTAAACAGCCTTAAGCATTTGACGAGAAGAAACTTAAACGATAGTTATTAATCAAAATAGTAATTCTTTCTCATTTTTCTGTCTCGTTGTTTCTTTTCTCGTCCGTTTTTATTCGTTCACTTTTCTTATTTTTTTAATTTCTTTTTCTTGCCTAAATATCATTTCATCGACTTTAAAGTTTTGGACTGGAGCCTAGGCTCTAAAAAGATATCAAAACGCTCAATTTGGAACATTTGAAGAATTAAGAATATAATATAGTATGCCTGTAAAATAATAATAAATGCATCTGTAGAATAATGCTTCCTTGGCTTTGGCTTTGGCATCGATCGCGAGCTTTCGTGCTCTGAATGTACCTGCATATTACAGTACTACTTCTTCAACTGTTAGAGTACGGTAAAGCCAGCAGAGAGTTACCGTCACTGCTTCCAGGGAAATGTTACAGTTGCTCATCAGAAAACATCCTTAAACGCTGGGTTAGAACTTATCATTGCATCCTAGCATATTCCTTCTTTTTTGCCATAAACGAAATTCGATTGTGATGGCAATGAGATTTGATGAACTCAAAGACTTTTACATATAACAAAGATTAACTTTAAGACTAAATGTGCCAATCTTACAATGATTTTTATTTAAAGCCACAAGATAGTTCCAATCACATACATTACTTGCGGCAATTGCCTTATTTCGCAAATGAGTCATGTGATAGAGTGAAAAAATCACTGCCAGTGGTATCGTGTCACCGAAGTGTGTGCGTCAAACTCGTTATTCTCAGTCCATCATTTGGCCATGAAATTTGTGGTACATTATTTACTTTCTTAAGTATCAAATGCCAAGTATATTGTATATTGCCAATAACCTAGCAACATCCAATAAAGTTAAAAGTCCTTAACAATGCTGATAGTTTGTGTGTTTTATCAAAATCCGCTCGAAATTTCCTTATAATAACATATTTGTGCATGCCAATCTAGATGGAGAAGCGAATATGATAATTAGCAGATCTGACTTGTTCTAAGTTTAAAACTAAGCTAAAATCAAGGTTAAGCCAAATTGAAACTTGGCAAATGATTTTTTCAGTGTATAAGAGCATTACAGGACAGAGTCCTACAATAGTTCGTGATTGTTGGAGTCGAGCTATGTGGATGGATATGGATAGGAGTACATTCAGAAGAATAATTCAGGAAGGTAGTACAAAGGTTGGCGATAATCATCTAAAGAACACTCATTAGCAAAGGAAAAAAGGAAACTGTTCATTCGGTGGTAGTTTAAAGCAGACAATTTCAAGCATTTATAAATTCAAAATATACCTAATTATTCAATATTTTGAAGTTGAAATTTTTCTTTCAGAATGTTGTAACATTGTTTCCTATTATTACAATACTTTCATTTCAAATATTTAAGTTCTACAGCATACAACATTTAGCCATACCATCATAACTTTTAATTATTTTTTTATGCTTTTGGCTTTTAAGATCATATTATGGTCAAATTGATGAGATCAAAAGAAAAGCAACAAAAATAAGAACACAAATTAGACTTGTTGTACAATACTTTCAAAACGCAATAAAAAATCCAAAAAGTTTATTGAAATAGAAGTTTGTGGGGGGCAGTTATTTAAAAACTCCAGTGTTAATTTCAGTTCAGGGAATAAAATTACCAGTCGTTTCATTATCTCATTTAGGTTTTTACTAAAATTGATAGTTGATTTCTGAAGAAAATATTATAGTTATAAGAGATGGATAAATTATCATGTCAATTCATTTTTTTTATTAAGTAACAGATTGATTTATTGAATTATTGGATTAATTGAAATAATTGTTGCAGGAGCAAATTGATTGAAAATGTCATTTGTTCTTCTTTTAACTCGTTGAAATATCACTTTTAAATGATTACAATTAAAAAATCTTGAAGCTATTTTCAGATTCAATTAATGGATACCAAAATTGAGCGTGCAGAGGGTATTTTGTATGCTTGTAACGGATATCTTTGCAATGGTAATACTGCGAGACTTCATTCTGTCACTGTCATCCTTATATTTTTTTTTATCATTTATAGTGTGCTATGTATGTAAATAAATGTCAACTAATGTTTCCTATTTCCATCAATTAATTTCATTTTCTTTTACTAGGAAAAGATTCATTGAAACTTTCCAGTAAATATGAAAATATTTTGATAATATAATTCTTTGTCTATTATTGATTTGTTTACAAAATTTTCCTGTACTTATTTTATGACAATTGTGAATTTCATAGCTGAGAATTAACTTATTATAGTTGACATTAGGATTGATGTCATATTTGATTCCATTCATTGAATGCTTCCACCATTTAATGGTAAAGAAAAAAAAGAGAGAGAAGAAGAAAGAAATGAAAAGAAAGTTTTGTTCCATTTTCACTTATCAATAAAATTTATATCGATGCTACCTCTCATAATAGTTTGAAATTATGAGTGATTTTTTAAAATGATTTCTAAATGGTTGAAAAATTGTCAATTTCATCAATTCTATTTATTATTTTTAGAAGTCAAATGATGTATGTGTCGGATACTCATTCGGCTTCTCATATATTTGATCTTTTACTTGTAATTTTGTTTATAATAGAACATTTATCAAAAAATTTTCATGCTCAGCTACAAATATTCAACAGAACAGAATTACCAATTTAATTATTTATGAATAAATAAACAAAAACTGATAGAATTCGAAAGTAAATGATTTCAAAAATAACATTGAATTTGAAGAAGCATTATCTTCGTTTGATTTATAAAATAGAAATAATGCATATAGCGTTGAATTGATTGTTCTCAAAGTTTATGCAAGTTAAAATGAGGCATTACTTATTTGAATTTTCTACAGGCAAATTTCAAATTTAAGTCTTCGATTACGGAAATTTATTCATACGGCACATTTCTTGGTAACGTGAATCGCTGTTCGTGGAATTGACCTTTGTCCTCATTTTCCGAATCATCATAATCATATATTCGATCATTCAGTTGTTTTTTGGAATCTGTAGTTAAATGTTGTTCTTTTTCCTTTTCTTTACTTCTTCCTCTAAATGGTCTTGGAAAAGAAAAGTGAATAGGTTCAGCTGGTGGTTGATTTCGCATACCATTTCTGGCGCTGAATGGAAATGCAGGTTGTATCGGTAAACTGGATAACCATTCCTCAAAGGTCGGGATTTGTTCCGGAGAAAAGATAGGTGTGTCAACTCTTCCTTGTTTTTTCTCGCTATTCTCCTGCATCCGTGACATTTCGTCGTCACTTTCTGCAATCATTTTCGAACTACTGTCACCACCATCACCATAATCATCATTATCATCATCATTAACATCATCAACATTGTCATCATCACGATTATCATCATCGTCATCACCCTTCTCATCATAATCATCTCTGATGTTTCCCTTATTTTTGCTATTGGTATCTTCACTACTGTTTTGTGGCCACAACTCATCACCGCCATTTCTATCGTTCTCAGGTGATTGCAACGGGATCCGATGCCTATTACTGCCATCCACGTCTCTAGACTCACTCTCAGGATCACGTTCCTCGTTCATCTCATGTCTTTGCTCATCGACCACTTGCATTTCTGAAAATTTGTCTGGATTTTCAAGCTTCGAGAAACTATTATTATCCTCATTTTGTTTCATTTTATCGTAGTCTTCGTCATCAAATTCAGAAGAATCAACGGTCATTGTTCGTGTCATAGTAGCAGCATCTGATATCGAACTCTGCGCATTTGTGGAATTATCAGTGTGAATATCTGATAGTTCTTTGATATCCATTACTGCTCGTTCGTGTTCATTTGGTTCTGTTATCTGGACAACTGCAGGTTGATTCTTATTGATACTGCTTTGCTCAACTAAACCAATATTAACTGTGGTTTTTGGTATAATGACTGGTAGTGATGTACCCGAAGATGTCTGAGATACCTTTATTTTTAATGGCTCTTTTATAGTTTGTCTACCAGTGTGATTCATTTGTAGTTTTAGTGGAGTAAATTGTTGGAAAAAATGGATTTCTTCTCCTGTTTCTCTCGTTCCACCCTGCAACGGAGGCACTTCTAGGACTGAAATCGAATTTTTCACCATTTCGTCGTTATGACCGTTTTTTATTGATGAGTTTGCTTTTTGTGGAATTACAAACTGAAAATTTTCCTGACTTTCTCTTTCATTTGCTGATGCTGTACTTCTTGCACTACTCGTTGTTATGGTTGACTGGAATATCGAAACCGGATCATCTAATCGATCTCTTTTATCTCGGAAATCTAGTTTTGCTGCTGTTGCAATACCAGTGTTTTTTTGCACCACTGGTAGATCGTGTTCGATGGGACCGATAGTAGTAGTAGTAGCACCACTTTTTTTATTACTTTCTATGATACTACTATTCACTTCACCTGGAAATATGCTTTCTTCTTCCTGTTCCTCAGGTTTTGCTTCAGTTTCAGCTACTGGCCATAAGAAACTATCGAGATCGGCCACCCCGACAGTAGTACTAGTAGCATCGGTATTGACAAACTCTTCCGGCTTCTCGAGAAATCTGCCCTCCATAAGAGTAAAATTTGCGTGCAAGAGCTCATCATCAGTATCATCTTCCAAAGAATCCGCTTGAACATTTGCCATATTCGTTTCCTCACTCTTCTGATTAACATCATAATTCTTATTAGTATTCATATTGTAGCCCGGAACATATTCCGAATAAGGTTCTTCAGAATCCTGTGCTTCTAACCTTCCTTTATCATCTTTCTGTTTATAGTTATTGAGATAAGTTGTTGGTATATAACCCGCTATCATCTGCACGTTATAACCGATAAGCTTAGCACCAGGTGGTACTTTCCAGTTTTTCGATTGCGCATTCTTTGATAACACAGATGACAATCTCTTTTTTGAAAGTGATCTCGAAATCTCGCCATTTTTTCTACCGTAATAATTCCTTCCATTGTTAGCTGATTTAGAGTCTATAAGCGTCGCATCAATATCTGATTGTTCTTCCAAGAGACCATAAACCGGTGGTGGTAATGAATCCGCAGTCTGATACGGTGTTAGAGGACTGAACTTTGGTTCTGCACCAACCTGAACACCTGGAAATAAGGTATTATTAGGTGTGACATATGATGAGCTCATAAAAAACGTGAATTAAATTTTAGTTATCCAAGTACGACCATATCTTTAAGTTAATAGAATTAATAAATAAGTGAAAGATTTAATGAGTTTTAGCTTTTAAAAGGATAATAAATTCCTGATAAGTTAGTAGAATTTAATCACTTTACCATTTAAAAAAGTTTGATATTAAAATAATGAACATACTTAATTAATTAAGTATTTTTGTTGTCCAACAGATTTTTGTTGCTTTTTTCAAATATAAAATCAGATCAATGCAATAAATTTGATAACTGGAAAACCTGAAATAGTTCAAAATCAACTCACTGAAAGTATATCCGATGAGAGTGCTAATTAAGATGAATGTATAGTAAACTGGCAGCATGCACTTTTTATAGATGCAAAAATATCAGACGAATTTAACAGACAAGATGGTTTGTATAATTTAATAAGAAATATACATTATTAGATGTTGTTCCTCCTGGAATGAGGACAATTGCGCGAGAATGGATGGGAGAAAAATAGGATGGTTTACTTTTTCAATAAATAGAACATTTATTTTTTTTTTTTTTTATTTTATTTTGATGACAAAGCTGGAAAATTTTCCTCTCTTTCATATCATCCATCATTATTATTTTATTATAACATTACTTTTATGAAAATATTTATTAACAATTGGAAAGGAATTAATGGCAGAAGGAATAAAATGAAGGAAGAAATGGCATTGGAAAGCATTCAATCATTCATTCTTTTTCAAATTCATTCTACAAATTTGATTATTATTACTTTTAAAAGCACATTTATCCATCGAAAGCAAGAAGATATCGGAATGTATCAATCAGATGAATAATGTTTAAAGTTAAGAAACTTAAAATTTTTGATAACTTTAGAAAATAATTGTTAAAAAAAATTTGATGAGTAAATATTATTATGAAGTGAATGTCATAAAGATTTATTATAACTTAGCTAAACTATTTTAAATTATCAGTTATTTTTTAATGTAGAGGGAGAGAGCATTACAGAGTAAGAGGAATAAAAGATGAGAGAAATTAGGAGAAGTTGTGAAGGAGAGGAAGCGAGAGATAATTGACGTTGAGAAGTAGTAAATATCGAATTTTTCTTTTCCACTTCTAATTTAAGAAGATTTCAATCTTTAATGATCTATTAGGAGCACGTGTAGTTTATTTGACACGTACGTAGACGTGTATATAGGTTTGAAGCAAGCTTTATCACACTTAACTTCCGATATAAATTGCAAAGCCTGGAAAAAAAGTTTACTCAAAGTTTGATTATGTATTTAGATTGTTTGCATTCATTGTTTATTTTACGTGCATCAAGTAAGCGTCCTGCATTAATCTAGATATTTTAAAATCAAGTGTTGAAAGTTGTTAAACAGTATAGTATTTATTTACAAAATTTGTCAAGGTTCGAGTTAACAGTCTTCTATCTTTCTTTTAACACTAGGTAGGGTAAGTGTTCGCACATCGAAAAGTTAATAAAATTGAAAAAGATGTGAAATTTGGAAATCTTTATTTCAGGTTTTGTTGAGCAACAGACGAGCAAATATAGGGCTTCAATTTAAACCACAAATATTGTCATTCTAAATGGATTCAGATTCCAAGTTCCATTCAGAATCGTCCATAGCATCGACATCTCCTATAAACGTAGAAGCTAATTTTTATTCTTTTCAAATATTATTACTATTTCAGTGTATCAGTTTGTTATAAATCTCAGGCGAAAAAGATGTTTTACGGGTGTAAAATGAGGACCTAAAAAATAAAGTAAGTAATACAAGGATCTTTTGACGAGAGACCACAACATTTTTCCTTAATCGGTACATGTCAACTGTACTCTTTAGTTACCACAGCATGGGTATCAAAAAGAAAGTGAGGCGAAGCTTTCCATTATGATGACATATTACAGCATATTGCTTCTTCTACATGCAGTTATTATGAATCGCAAAAAAGTCTCTTGAATAGGAAGAGAGGTAATGGACAGCTATTCCGAACGAAATCATTTCGTTATTTCTTCAAAGTAGATAACAAAAAAGGTGGCATGAAACACAAATTTTTGTCCTACTAGTATTAACATTATAGAAAACGGAGTTAAATTTCGAATCTGTTACCAGCGATCTACCGAGTATTACAACTGCATCAGCTGTACCGATTACAACGAAACAATTAACAGCGCAAACAGTTGGTGGCGAAGACACGTATGACGTAATTACTGTTAGTCCTTCAAGCTCCTCTGACGGAAGCGGCAATGAGTTCGTGAAGATAGAACATAGCGATGTACAACAGAGGTTATTATTTTCTATTATGTACTTAACAAGTATTGGCTTTAATGTTTCTGAGATGCAACTGAGATTTCTTAGATCAACTATAAAAGAAAAGGAAAACCTACTAGTAGCTTTAAAATTAATAGTCTATTAAAGTTTATTAAGAAAAGCTTTTCTGGATTATTTCTGCAGTGATTGTTTTTGATTTCCTTTTGTTATGCAAAGAATGTTAATACTTGTTGTGTTGATGGATGAACGATGGAAGCAATATCAAAATATTAGGGATAGAGTAGAATAAGATTTAAAACTCAGCACAACACGTTTTGGAATTGGAGATAAGTAAATAATGAATCAGCAATATCCTAAATTCTCCTTTAACATTTCTGAGATGTGACATATATCAGCTACAGCCATCCAGGACATATTCTAGACCACCTCATTTTAATGCGCATTTGAATTTGAGCCGTTTCATGTTTTTCTATACTAGTCTATCGTTATTTTTGTCAAGTTCGCATCTTTTAGTGTTGGTGATACACTGTCGTTCAGAATGGATAGTGATGGCGATGATAAGAGCAAAAGAGATCGAAGATATCCTGTTGTAAGTTGTTAATTACTACTTACAATTGTAGATATCTTGAAGTGATATAATTTATTCATTCTTTTAGCATACTTAGCGTACTAGTATTTTGAATTCTAGTTTTTTTCAATTTAGTTTCTTTTTATTTGTCAAAATTTTACATCCCTTCAGATTTCGTCCTTGTTAAAAAAAGTGGAACATTACAAGGAAAAAAAAGCTGCTCTATTAAGTGTTAGACAATTATATATCAATTTAGATTTACACTGATGTATCCAGAAGATTTGTGTTTAAAGAATGATGTCATTTAAGGTGTCTAAACTGGTCTGATGCTATTGTGAATGCTTGAAATGACTAAATGCTACTCTTATTTTCATTTGTCTCTTAGTGAATAAAAGAATTACATTAGTTGTTCCATTACGCTAGGTCCGTTCTATGTTGTTCCATCGTTCCTATGCAATTACCGGAACGGGCTGTTTGATTTCCTCCCATTTTTTTACCATTTCTGTGAATTTATGTCGTCTTCCAACAAAAAAAAAAAAATGGACGCTTCCAATATATTGTTTCATTTTAACTCTCTATATTGCATTTGACATGCATCAGAAATCGAGGAAAGTAATTAAAGACTTCCAAGAAGGTTGTGGTACTTGCCATTAAATAATGGTTATGTCAGGTGGTGTTGGAGCCCTTATCCCTTTAGAATTCATGTAATTTCAACGTCTTCCTGTTGTCCATTTTAACCTGGTAACTTTTTTTTTTTTACATTTAACCCCTTAATAGATCCCTTAATTGATACAATAATATTTTTAACTTATATTGCACATTTAATTACGTGAGTCTTAAAAATTTATATATAACTTATACAAGGCTGTATACATCGCCTTGCAAGTGACATATGCTAGATTTAAATCTTCAAAACTTTAAAATGAATCACCTAATAATTTTGAAACATACTACTTACTGTCTATCAACCCATTGGTAGGTTTATAAATTTATCAGGATAGCTCACAAATCAGTCAGTCTTCCTTTTCATCTTTTCTTATCTGAGTAAACATGTTGTAATTACGTTAGATCCAGAAAGATATCTTTATGTGATGCACTATATAATTACCAATATTGATGAAGAAAAATATCCTTTAATGCAACAGTGCAGAGTCTAGTCTATAATCCTTGTGGCATTTTGTTTTTTCCTGAAGTAATGAAATAATGTTCAATACAGCGAAATTGCTGCAGGCATTCCTCATAGCACTTTTTCTCTATAATCCTACCACATAGTGTTTTGCTGGGTATATATATATATTGTTGTTTGTTAGGTTGAAATGGCAAGGATGGAGAAGAAATTGTAGGAGAATAGAGACGGGCCCTTTGTGTTGGGGAAACCAGTAACATCCTATAATGTTGTCCCTGGAATTATTCGCAATTTCCTCTTCTGTCCTTGTCTCGTCACTTCACTAATTCCTCTTCTTTAACAAATATTTTTGGCAAAAGTATTCCTTAGTGGATATTAACTGATATGGCAGGATTCATTAATATATATTGTGTATCTATTATGACACGTTAAGCAGATCCTTTTTCTAAATTCTTTAATAATCGACTTCTTGTGTGTTTTCTTCCTCATCACTATTCTCATTTTCACAAATAATCATTGTTGTTTTATCATTTTTCATTCTCTATGACCAGGTATTATCCTCTGTTGTTTATTGATGTTATTCTGTCTTATTGTTACTTCACAGCACAGTTTGATTATGAAAGAGAATAGAAGCAGAGACTGGAAGCATAAGCTGTTAGTCATTGATTGCGCAACGTAAGCAGTATTTTTTGTCAGCTGGGCAATGTTGAATATATGTACGAGCAGTTAGTCAGTTAACTGTTTCATTTTCTAGAAGGTTTTTTATGCATGAAACCCACAATCTAGAAGATGCTATTAAGTCAATTCCATTTGAGCTCGTGGTCTAACGAATACTAATAGTCTATCAAGAGGAACAGCAAATATCAAGAAGAGGTGAAGTGAACAGAAAATGTCTTTCTTATACGCTACTGTTACCTTCTAAAATATTTTACTAAGTATTTTACAATGTGGCATGTTTTGGTGAACCGAAAATTATCGATTTGATATACATTTACACATGAGATCTTGCAGCTGTCCAAGCGGTTGTTTTAGGGAAGCATAATGGATCGCGGATTGGGGTCAGACGAGCCATACAGTGATATTTTGTTGAGATCTGAAGAATTTGCAGAGAGTGAAAAAGTGAGCGATATAACAAAAACAGGTGAGTATTGCATTCGTTGATTCATGGGATTTTCTAAGGTACAGTTAGAGTTGCAAGACTGTTGCAGCATATGGTAAGTGCTTAATGCATAGATAAAAAAAGAGAGGAGAAACCATGTACTTTTTGTTTACATCTAAAAAGTAATTTTAGAACTTTGAATTAATATTATTGAATTAAGACTTCTGTAAACTCCATTGCGAAATAAAGACAGGCGTATAAAATTTCTTTCTTTTTAATATCTTTTTATTCTATCATAAATTGCTCCATAGTAAGTGCATAAATTCTAATGAAGGTAGGAAGTGAGGAAAGTGGTTGGTTAAGGCTATTTTTTTTTCTTTGGAAATTTTCGAAATTAGATATATTAAAGCAAAAGCAAACATCAGAAATCAAAATTTGGCGAAGGAAGAAACTAAAATTGCACTCGTCACTGACTGTCATTGTATCATTTCAATGCCGGCCTTGATTTTTTGTGTCTCGTTCTCTGTTCCCATTCGGATTGGCTTAGCTAATTTTTTTTCTTTCATTAGTAACATTTAATGAGGAATTTCTTTTAAAACTTATTATTCGACTTGGATTTCAGATGTTCAGCTGCTAGCTGATAAAATCACACGTAAAGTTGGGAGGTTTAATAACAAGCATCATGTCTTTTTTATTTGCTTTATATCTTGATTTCATATTGAAAGATGAGATTGGTCACTGCAGCAATCCTTATTTTATATTTCAAATACATCTATAACGAAATTTGATGAGAGAAGAGAATAGACAGTAATAAAAATTGATGATGAAATTTCAAGTTTCCTTTCTATTCAGTTTTATTGAGCACAACAAAAAGACAAAACATATAGTGAATTTTTTTTCACTTCAACTTACTGTAGGTGAGAGGGAAGTAATGGATGCGACAAATAAAGCTATGAATACCAAAGTATCAAGAGGAGCTCTTGACGACACGGTACATGTCCTTGGTGATAAAGTGAAAGAAATGGTGGGACAGGCAGGAGATATGGGACAACAAACAATGGAGATAGCTGGAGATACTGTATCAAATATGTTATCTCGAAAAGTTCGTGATGTTGCGAGTGCAGGACAGGAAGCTGACAGTGTGAATGAAGATGTGAGATATTCGATGGATGAAGGAGAGATGCATACGTTCAAGGGAAAATTTGATGATGTCACCCGTGAAATTTTGGATAGCACTCATCATGCTACTAATATCTTAACAAACACCTTACAGAAAGCGGAGGTAACTGGTGACACGCTTAAAGGTCAGTGATTATGAGTTAGATTGAAGTATAGTAATTTTGAATCAAATCTACTTTTCATATTGGATGATTAGTGAAATTTTTTTTTGTCATTATGCAGAGAATTTCCCAAAGAAAAAAAAAGTCTCAAGTTACTGCTTCCAGGTGTAGCAGCTCAAGCAGTTTCTTCTGTTGAAGACATTTTGGCAGATCTGGATGACAAAATCAAGAGCAGCGCGTCATATACGGGTGACTCGCATGCTAGAACCGAATCAGTTGGGGTAACAAAGATCGGAAATGAAGACTTAATTCGACTAACCGATGGGAGTAATAACGCTTCACAGCGTGATACAGGCAATCGTACAGTTTTCCCCCAATCAACGCATGATGCGAATCAGGATGTAGGTTATCCATCATCACAACAGTGGGGTTTGGATTGGAGACAGTATGCTGATGAAGCGGCAAGCATTGGCTTACACCATTTTGATCGTGAAGCTGAAGCTGATGTAAAAACAGTTCATTCTGCGGGTAAGTAATGCACAAATTTAGGCTTTTTATTTTCTTGTTGAACATTTTTCATATCCATAAACAGTCTTTGGCATTTCATTTCAACTTTATTATTGTTACATATTGTTTTTGCAAAGGAAAGCTTACTAGACACTCCCATGTAAATGAATGAACTGCACTGGTGAAGACGTAGAATTCAAGTGGATATGTAAAATAGATTTAAAGAGGAAGGAAGGGAAGACGAATTACGATGAGAAAGAAAAGCAGAAAAAGATTATTGCATTATGTATGTATGTTTCTCCATATGTACATCAAGGATTTTCAAGTACAGTGATTGATCCTTAATGCAGAATAAATAAGTTTTTTGTTTCTCTCATTTATGTTATCATTGTTTCATTCTGCAACACTCATACAAGTGCCACTTTCTCATTTTGCTGTAAGTGCTAACTGATTGAATTTCTGAAAAATGATTTAAATGAATAATTGCTGTGCGATTAAAATGCAATTAGAAAAGGGGTGAATGTTCTAATGCTGAAATTTTTTGTTAAGAAATTTTTTGAACTGATTTCGTTTATGCTCATCTCAACGCTAAAAATCATCAAATTAGTCTAAGTTCATCTGTTATTCATCCATTTTTTTTTTTTTTTTTGAATAGCAGTGAGCAGATAATGTTCATAAACCATTATTAGCAGGTAACATTTTTACACCTGCACGATCAACAATAGCTAACTTTATATATGAAATGTAATACTTAAGCTGTTGAGGTACATGACTAAGTAGATTCTATAATTGCGAAAATGTTCATTGCAAGTGCTGATGTGAGTCTTAATCATGTATACGGCCATTTCAGGGTAGAATATATTCCTCTTTTTTTTTGAGCTTTGAATAAATTAAGTGCTTTTCTGCTAAAGTTTTTCATGTTTTAGATGATAGCAGCGCAGAAGAAAGTATGTTTGACAGAAAAGGACCGTTGACCATACCACATCAGGTTGGCTTTTTCGATATTGTAATAAAGCAGAGGGAGTGACTGATGAAAACTCTTAGTACGGTGTAACATTACTTCCATAACTAAATATGTTTCGTTGTAAATCTAGCTTCGTTCTCGAATTCAAAGACTCTTAAAACTGCTGAAAATATAATGCAGTACTTCCCATATACCATACAAATATTGATTACAGAGTCCTGAGGATACAATACAGCTCGACCGTGACTTTAATTCGCCAAAACAAAGGTAAGATTTAATGTACTTGATAAAAAGAGTAAAGAAGTAACGGCGATAATAAAAGATAAAAAGGTAATTTCTGTGGTATTTAAATCTTCACATAATTTATTTGCTTACAGCGGTTTCGAAGTGGCTCCCCGCCCGCCGACACCACCAAAAGAGCTCGATGATGAGGACGTGAAACCGACCACAATCGATTTGGGACAAACAGCAGGTAGATTATGTAAGTTTTTCTATTCCTCTGTTTATTTGTATTTTTTAGATTAGTTCGCAGCTGTCATGTGTCTCCGTTCTCATCACATTGTCTGATTGAAGGTCACCTTGCAGTAAAATTTGAAAAGTTTGCGCTTTTCTGTACTTGTTTAACTGCACGTTCACTGCACGAACATTCCCTTCAAATATGATGAGGAAAGAGATGTAGAAAAGAAGAAAGGCTCGAGTCTTATCTTAATTTACTGACTATTTTCTGCATTGATAGGAAATGAATGTATTTTCAGTCATTCTTGGCTTGAACTGAATGGTTAGAGAATAGGTTCAGATCTATCAACGTTATCAACTACGATTTGATTAATAAAAGAAGCTTTATTTAACACTTTAATGCACTGTGGTTTACCATTCCAATAAGATGCTAGAATTTTTTATTACCACTTTTTTATAGCTATTTGATGAATATTTAATGAATAGGACATTTTGCAAAGCAACAATTACTAGATGAAGTATGCTATGATTAATGACGCAAAGTTTTACTCCTCAGCATCTATCGCCGTTAAGAAATAGATCTATAGAAAATTAGTCCGATTTTCACTGCCTGATACATTTCAATTAGCAAAAATTACGTTTGAAATAATCGTAGAGAGTTTGAGTGTGAAATTACGATTCTCAGTAAGTATTTACCCAGAAGGTTGAGGAAAATGTTTCTTTGACCTATTGTTTATCTACTGCAAATGCCTGACAGTATCGGACATAATAGCGTTTACAATTTTTTTATAAAGAACTGTAACTTAAAAATAACTTGCTTTAAGAAAATAAATAAAATTTTCCAGTTGTCGGTGGTGAACATCCAAGTTCCATATTGAAAAACAGTACACAAGGTGTCAGATTTAATTTCAAGGATATGGATGCGAGATGTAAGTTGTTATTGCTGTCATTCCCGGAATTTTATCATCTACTGGAAATACCATAGCTTAATTTACTAGTTATCAACTGCGTGTACTTGTGTAAGTGGAGTATAAAGACGAGATGTTTCAAATTCGTTATTTAAACTATATTTGAGTAAAATAAGGCTCAGTTAAGCAAGGTTTAACCAGTGTCAAGTTTGGTGTTGTTTGAAACTACCTTATTAGTTACTCCTTTCTTCTCGTTATGTATCCAGCATTTTTCATTGTATTTTTTCAATATTTTTCATTATGCACATAGTATTTGTTAACAGTTTGGGATCCAGCATTACTCAAAGCTTTCATCATCTCTCACATTACATCATGTGAGTTTATTGTTAAGGCCACCTGCTTGGAAAATTGCACTTTCCTTTATTATAAAAGATCAGGATGCATTAAGAGATATGATAATAATAATATAACAGTTTACTGTATCTGGCATTATGATAATGATGTCGGGTTGACTGCATGATATGGAAGTTGTGCTGTGTATTATATTATTGTTGAAGTGCCACTACAGAAAGCTAGGAGCATCTGGAAAGAATGCTGGAAAATTAAATTGATCTCTTTGCTAGTGTATCTGCTACCTCTCCTTTCATAAAAGTAAACACTTCATTGGACATTGTTGGATTTTGAAGAGATAAGGAAACTTTTTCTGGTGACTCAAATGTCCTATATCCTTTTAGATCTCGAAACAGTAACCTATAATTAATCGAGTTTAGTAAACAGTAAACTTATTTCTTGAAATAAGCAGAAAAGATTGAGTAACTTTATTTCATTCTATCTGGATCTATTAGTAACGCCGTCATAGAAGCATTTTCCCGTTTCTTTATGGACTAATTTAAAAGGGTGAAATGCTTGGCTCATTACTATCCCTTCTGTTCGTTGCCTTCTCACTTTTTTGCATTCAACGTTTTCTGGAAGTGCAGCATCACCTCGACGAAGAATTCTTCAGTTTCGAAATTATTATAAGCACTAGAACTGAAGTTCTTTAAGAAAATCATTTCTATATATAAAGCATCCGGCACTTACCTTGTGACGAGGAAAAACCGCAAAACAGCTGTGATACTGGCTGCCACTGTCCTAACTTACGTCGAACTATTGCTCGAATAGTGCAAATTAGGAGGCTAGAAACTCATCAATAATTGCTATTTGTTAGCTGATGGAAGAAGCCTTTATATTTCGTTATCGCTGGCATAAAAGATAAAGAAGTGAGGATCAGAAAGACACTTTGCATGCTTCTCTCGTTGTTAAAAACTATGCATCACGATTATGTCTTAGGTAATAAATTTCAAATAGAGCTCATATGCAACTTCCTTGTTTATTCCATCCTACAACAATTAAGACGACACAGTTCAAGACAAAACAAAGACTCCGGTTTGACACTGCCGTGAAAAAAGTACAGGTGTTTTTTTTCTTCCAGTTCTATTGAGTATTCTACTTCACTGCCCTTAACTTACTATATTATGTCAACCTAATCATTGTGCCTTGATAGATACGCTAATTTGTATAATTTCATAAGAACAAATATCTTCCTCATCGATAGACAGAGTTACTCAAGCCTAGTCTTTTAAGCACACTCTCTTTTTCTCCCTTCCCTGGATGAACACTGCATCACTTATTTACTACTTCTGTCACCCAAGGGAAGGATGATGAGTCATGAGGAGTATGTCTGTATATCTGGAGGAATGGGTAGAGGAAGAGGAGTGTATATGCATGCAGTGTTGTTGCTGCTACTGCTGCTGTTGCTGTCGCTATTGCTATTGCTGCTGCTGCTGTTGCTGCTTCTATTATTGCTGTTGAGGGTGCGGCAATTGGAGGAGAAAACAGAAAGATCGATAAAGTTATTAGATTGTCCCGCGGTTTTCCAGTTTAGGCATTGCATCAACACTTCACTTACGCTCTCATCTTGCAGTAGCAGTAGCAGCAGCAGCAGTAGCAGTAGCAAATGTCCGCCCAACTTGTCTTGTCCACTATCCACTACTTACCTTGTACAACATTACTTCTTCTGCTAAGTAGCAGTTACCTGCAAGCAAAACTGACGATTGTCAAGCATATGAGTCACAGCTCAGAGCTCAAGCGAAAATACGCAGATGACTCATTTTTCATCTTAACTGACATGCTCATAAGATCTATTCTGTATCATTCAGTTCATTTCTCTCATGCTTTTGAATAATGCATTGAAAGTTCTCTAGGAATGTGTCCTCTGTTGTGATAGTTATGTGTATACCCATGTTTATATATGTAATGATAATAATAATAAGTAAATAAATAAGTAAACAAATGAATAGATAAATAAATATCAGTTAATAATGACAATAAATAAATAATAATATTAATGATAAATAAATGATAATAATAAATAATAATAATAATAGTAATAGTAATAATTATAGTTGCAATAGTTATATGTAGGATCATTTTAGTGTATTCTGTGTGCGAGAGTTATTTTGCTCCATATTAGCTTTTCTTTTATGATAGCGACATAAATCATTTAGATAAGTTTGGTTGGTGAAAAAAAGATCAGTTTTCGTCATACTGAACTTTTTTTAAATAATGTCGAATTATGCACAGATTATCCATTTCTGAATTGTGCCGACCGAGAATCATGTTTTTGGTCTCGAGGTCTTTCAGGATGATTTCGGTCTTGTAATTACTCATTGTTCATTATATCAATTTTTTATTCTTGCTTTCAAAATAGTGTTAACTTATTCTTCTGACAAATGCTCAAGCACCTTCTTGCGTGTGCGCGGAAATTGTTGTAGCGGCTGAAAATGTAATGTTTTTGGAGTTAAGTGTAATTTGCCAGGTTGACAACAGTCGTACACGATAATGGCAGATTCAAGAGCTGGTAGTCCAGCTATTTTTGATATCCTGTTCAATGCGGTTTATACCCTGATCTCACTAACAACTCGTACCATTCTTCGCTTTGGCCTCACAACGGCTTTGATTGCTTCTGTTTTAATCACTCTTCATCATGCAGGCCAATTTAGCAAACGAGCTTTATTCCAAAGGCAAGATGGTAATTATTTGAATAGCAATTTCAAGATAGTTTTAAGAAGGATAAAGCTTGTGATACTTCTTGAAGGTCTATTCCAGTTTGATCTGATCATTATTGGTTTGGTGTATTGTCGAGTGAAAGCACTTAGGGAAAATTAGATTTTTATCGGAATTTGTAACATAATACAGAGTTTAAATCTTAATCATCTTAAATGATTTTGATCTGCAATATTAAATTTCGTATTTCTTCATATCTACCGTTTGGAACCAATTTTCATCTCTTCCTACTCTGCTAAAGTTTAAAATCGCTGTAACAAAGAAAGGGAATCATATTAAAGCGGAGTAGAGAAGGCCCACATAGTTAACTTTTGCTCCTGAATACACCTGAGAGCGTGAATGTATATACACTATTATTAATTCCTGTCAACACAAATCAGTCCTTATAATTACTCATGGTTAGAATTATAACATTTGTTTCCTCTAGTGATACTCATTCAGTTTTCTTTTTTGAAGGTAAGTAACCAAATGAAATATCCTGAAATGAAACGCTTATGTCCCTATTCTGCTGATAAAATATTTCCTCTTAGTAATTATTATCTAGGAAGGAAAGCAAATAATCACTCATTATGGTTTTTGATAATGCATATAATAGCGCACAATTCGCTTTCCAGTTCTGGATATAGTTTATTGGCGAGATCCAAAGAAATCTGGTGCAATACTTGCTATTACTCTTCTTGCGCTACTCGTGCTCGCGAAATTTCCTCTGATTGCAGTCCTTAGTTATGTTGGACTGTCAGTCCTTGGCGGTACTCTTGGTTTTCGTATTTACAAGTTGATCGAAGCACAGATTAGGAAAACAGATGGCGGAAATCCATATCGGTAAGTGGGAGAAGTCATTTCTGGATTAAGCTTTAGAATTTTTGGCCAATGTGTTCAAAAAATCAAGAGGTGGCATAATGATTGGTGGATAATGGATTCGCGTGTGAAAGTGTTGTTGAATCGTTATACCAACGTTAGTATTGGAATGAATTATGTATATGTCGGCTGGATGCGTTTTTGTTTGTCAAATCCTGTAAGCAGCTTTGTTCAGGACATATTTGGAGGACCGAGAGTTTCATTTACCTAAAGAAAAAGTTCATCAACAGATGGATGCACTTATCGAGCATGTGCAGTTTATTGGTAACAAGCTGAGGCGGTTATTTTTGGTAGAAAGTATTGTGGATAGCATCAAGGTAATTCTTGTTTTTCTTTTTTTAAAATTTAGGTAAATGCCTTTAAGTTTGGACTTTTGAGGTCTGTGAAGTATGTGATATTGATTATTACTTGATGAAAAAAAAAAAATGCGCCTTGATCTGACGTACGTCACTTGCTATTCAGACATTGTTCATCTTGTTTGGCATAGGTGAATAGGTCACTTAAAACTTTATTGGCATGTAGTTTATTTCAGTTTGGTCTTTTACTTTGGGCGCTCACATATGTCAGTTGCTGGTTCTCTGGACTCAGTCTATTAATCCTTGGTGAGTTACTGTTTATTTTTTTCTGTTAATGGTTTAGAATAAATGAAATGAATTTCAATGTGATGTTAGATTTTATAATGCATTCTGTAGGATTTTGCAACTAACTAGTGGATAAGCCTATTTTCCTATTCTCACGTATGGTTGTTATCACTTATTCTTTCCTTATCCTCAATAGTAATAGGACTGCCTATTACTGTGACTACCGAAGTGGTCCTCTAAGAAGCGTGGAAGAAAATATAGGATGTTATGGCACTTATTTTTATATTACTAAAATCTTTTTCAGCTATATTAGCAGTCTTCACAATCCCAAAAGTGTATGAGGTTTACCATGAACCTATTGATCGTAACATCTTCATAGCGAAGCAACATATTGATAATGCAAACAAAATGTGTGTAATTTTGTCATTTTTTTCGTCTCCGTAATTATTAATAGGCTGAACCTTTCCTTAAAATATTAGTGTACAGAGAATTTAAGCATACTATGTCGGAAGCAAGGGATTTCAAATGTGATTTATTTATGCATTAGAGATGCTTTTCTGGTTAAACTCAAATTATCTTTTGTAAAAGATTATGGATTGTAAAAATTGTTACTATAAGAATATATTTTCAGGATTAGCGAAAAAATACCTTTCCTGACGAAATCAACTGCTGCTGCTGAAATCAGTCATGAAAAGTCATATTAATTTTATGTCCATTCCCTCATTGGGATACGCAAAATTGCTGTGTATAATGCTCATTTTTCTGATTCCTTTGTAACTATATTAGCCTCTCTTTAAATCTATATTTGGCAATGTTGAACCGCTTGATCATTTAGTATTTTAAACTTCATATAAACAATTCAAATAATTGTTATATGAACGGATGCAAGAAGAGTTTAATCATAAATCATTTCTGTAAGAAGCATTTTAAATGCGAATATATTAGTTGGTAGTAATGCATCCTGTATGGTCGCTGATCGGTGCTTCTCTATTTCACATCATGTCTCTTTTGTCTGCGGTACTCATCTACCTTTTCATTGAGTTTTCATTCGGTCTGCATGCTTTTTCTGTTGCTGACACATTCTTGCTAAGTTGATGGTAGTACATACTCTTGACTAATATTTTCCCATGGTATTTACATATTCCGGTTTATCGAATAAGCAAGAACATTTAGTCTTAAGATTACAGTGATACCACTTAAATGTCGAAATGATTAAGTTCCGTAGTTGCTTGAGTAAAGCTTGAAGAATCTTTAGTAGTTCTCTTTATTTGACCATCTTTGAATTCATCTTTTCCAGAATAATACGTCTTCTTCCGTTAATTTGTTGAGATTCTCAGTCATTTGCATCACGGGCAGATTTTACAGCATTAAATCATTGCTGTTATGCTGACTGCTTCTATTTCCTTGTTAGTTCGTTTACCTTTTAATTTTCTCTTTCGCCATTTCTGTTGATTATTCTGTTCTGTGTTAAGTTAAGCAAATTCGGATGTTATAAGACATCATAAGATGATATTGCAGCTACTGCAGATGGCCTTATTGCTGCTTAGGGGATGAATTTTCTATCGTTGATAATTGATTATATCAATTATCTTTCAAGAACTGACAGTAATGGGATAAATGAGTGTTATTGCTTAACTTTATACTGTAATCTTTTCATGCTATAGTTGAGCACTACGTACTGTATGTTTCATTGCTTATTATGCTTATTGGAAAGCGTTTTACGTGAAGTGGTATATTCTCATAAGTTTCTCTCTACTTATATCACATATAATCCACTTATATCAAATATAAGGAGTTTAATATGAAGTATTATGTTTATTCGTTATTTGTTCAAGTAGTATAGTTTTAAAAGAAATTCGAATTGTAAATTACATTTTCAACAGTTGTAAAGTCATATGTATTATTTTACAACACAACAATTATTCAAAGTTTTGTGACTTAAAAAAGTGTTGCATATTTTTTGACTCCTTTTTACTCTTCAGTGATATTAGTCAGCATGTTTCAAAGAAATGAATGATTTAGTTTGATCTAAAATTACGTAAATCCACGAGGAATTAGTATGCACATAAATGTCAAAACGATGCGAAATTTTCGTCCTATTCTAGAAACGGAAAAATCGAAGCTAAAAGTATTCCAGCAAATTTATTCGAATTATAAGTGATTCGAATGTTCTTTCTATGAGAGAAAGGGTGATTAATGTTTCAGATTAATACTTCAAAAATAGGATTAATTTAATATAAGATAGTGAGACAAAAATGTTCGAATAAGAATAGTGGGACAAGAAATTTCCGATGAGTTGGATATATATTCGATTAGATGCCTGGAGATGAACGGATCTCTCAATAGTTCTTGATCTGAACAGAGTACCGATGGGGGGAAAATTAAGCTAGGCGTTGTGTCACCTGTTACATCAGAAGTTAGCAGGGAGGAAATGAAGTGATTGGGTAGTTTGGTAGAAGGTTTTCTGAAAGCTTTGTTTTACGAAAGATACCATCAATATGAATATCGGATGGAAGTCAAATCGATGAACCTTGTAGAATGAAGGTTGTTAGGATATCTGATCTATTTATATAATAATTTGAAGAATATTGTGCATCTACCCGAAACATAATAAAATTAGTCACTTGGATAAATACACAGAAACACATTTTGTTCGTCATACATCATGCGGAAATGACGCCAAATTAATATTAACAAAAATTAGCACATAATTATAAATAATCATACAAATTAAATCATAAATCAGTTTAATAGATTTTCGAAATGATTTCTAGCCTGTCCTAGATACTACATCAAATCTATTAGCAAAGAAAGCAATGGGTCCTTGCTAGTGTTACCGCAATGGTAGTGGTAACACTGAGAAGCTACCAAGAAATGATATCCATAATCGATCATCAATCATAAACAAAGATACGTAACATAGCGCAACAAGTAATAATACTACACAAACATTACAAATGAGGACACGTATGAAGAGCCTATCAGTCATCTCTGACCACATATTCATAAAATCAGATAAATTTTGATAATGAAGAGCAGCGAGAATCACAACTATTACTGATGCTATATAGGAGAGGTACAAATGTTTACTCATCCTAGAAGCACCGTTGCATCCGTCGGTATCACAGGATTGTACACATCCAGAATACTGATAACCTTTGTATTTGAAATGACCACAGTGAGATATGCGCACAATTTCTGGAAATCAGCAAACAAAGAATAAATCACTTTCAATAATGATATGTTGTTGTTTCTTTATAAGCTAATTAAGTAGCTTACATAACGAAGTATTTTATAAAGCATAGTGATTCTGCCATATGGAAAGGTGTGCAAATGAAATTGCGCCGTTTATGAAGTATGGCTTACTTTTATTTTTTAAATCATTCCATCTTTCTTTAGAAATATCATCTGGGGATTTGCCCCAAAAAGAAAGAGAAAACAACTAAGGCATATTATGTATTCCAACTTTATTCTCCTGCAGTACCAAACTTATGAAATTGTTATTGCATAGGTAGGAGGTACCTGTATCTGCAGTGAAAGTACCCGAATCCAGTGCACAGGTTCGAATTACCATAGTTTGTGACACATCGTCTACTGCAAATATCGAAATTAATATATCACATATATGGGTAACATAAAATGAATGGTATGAATGACATTTACGTCAGTTTTGATTAATTCACATAAGTTTAAGTCATTTTTTTTCAAACTAATTCCAACAATGATGAGTGATACTATCATACTTCGATGTCCATTCACTTTGATGCAATGGTCAGCAGGAAACAAGCCTTGGCGTTTTTTCTTGAGGGCCCAACAAGGATAGTGGTAGTTGCTCACACCAATTCTATTCAATTCTTTGTGGAATATGGTCGAGTTGAATGTGTCCTCACAGGTTGGATCCGATCCATTAAATGAGAAACACACGAAACAACCGATACTGTTCACCTCTGCAGAAAAAAAGTAGCTAATTGAGAAAATGCTGTAAATACTCCTCTATGTGCTCCAGTTAATATGACTAATTCATATTTCAGCAAAAACTTATTTCCATCTTGCGATGCAGTATTATGCACATTCAAATAAGTTGGGGTCAAAGGTGAAATGAAATGATGGTTTTCACTTACCTTGCATTACTATCATAACAATGAATAGGAATTGGCCGATTCTTCTTATCGGCTTGTCCACTAAAGAACTTATGCAAGGCGCCATACACGCCTTACACTAAGGGCCAGAAAACGTTTGGACGCTATACCAATTATTTGAATAGGCTACTTGTATAAGCAATTAATCATCTGTTAAATGATCGGACTGATAATCTTTTCCGTAGTTACAAGGCACTGCCAACGATTGTAGTGATAATATTAGAGGAATTTAGAGCAGAGAGAGGGGTAGCTACTGATAACTCGGGATGAAATGCCGAGCGGGCGTCCCCCTCCCCCTACCACAAATTCGCATTGTCACTTCAACGTAGATCCTTTCTTCAAAAAACATTAAAAAACGTCGTCGGAAAATATGTCGCGAAATTATTGCTTGTCTCTTTATATATTACCACCAAAATCAGTTGATAATCTGAAAATGAACTTGAATGATTAATGCACTTTGAAGTGCTTCAACTTAGCTTTGCCGTAGCTGAAAATCTTCGAAAATGAATCAGGAATTTGAAGTGATCCAAAAAATCTTTCACTGAAAGAAATCTAATACGAGCAGTTAAAATTATTTTAAATTACAATGAATCTGACTAACTAATTATTTAACACCTCTTATTGATAAGGTAATGCACAAACCCTCCATCAGTTTCTGAGATATTCATGATATCAGTATCAAATTACATTGTTTTAAGTATTTGCTGGTAAATTTATCAACTTTACATCATAATTTATAAATAAGTGGTCAACAGAGCAATTTAATTAAAGACAAATTCTTCAAATTAGCACAAAGAAATTAAAAAATATCACAAGACATGGGATGTTTCATTGGGAAAAAGTTGAAGATGTGGTAGGAGTACTAAATGGTACATCCTCAAAACTGCTTATCTATTTAAGATCTACTTACTTGAAGTGGATCAATCATAAGTTGACAATAACCAATCAACGGGTCCTTTCTACGATGAATTTTTAGAGATAGTCTTACGGACTCATAGAACCTAATAGTATATGTTAATGTTGTAAAATGTCTTTTCTCACTGCACTAAATTGAAATATGAAAGTGAAAGTCCCTTATCAATCTTCTCTTTTCATTTTATGAACTGATTAGCTTAATGTTTTTGACAAGAGTGCACAGAAGAGACATTTATCTCCTATCTTATATCTTGTTATCATGATCTAACTATCACCGTATCATACTGAAAGTAAGTCAAGAATTGGAAGTGACTGTTTGCATAGCGATTATTTATAACTTCAATTGAGGATGAGCGATGAGTCAGACTTCTTTTAACTTTATTACTAATGGCATCATTAGGAATAGAAAAGTGAGTGATAAGAAAAATGGAATGATAAGAGAGCAATTGATAGAAATATATAGGAGAAAAAGCATTGCATAGATTCATGTCATTTTATTCACTGTTCAATTTATTTCACTAAAAATTGATAGAGATGACAAATTTCAATGATGCAAAACAAGATTGAAAGAGATTGGAAGAAAATTCAGTGAAAGCCAGAGTTCTTTATTATTCATAAATAACAGAAGGGATCGATAGAATGAATGGCAGTAGTGACGATGAAATGAAATACAGAAGAGCATTTAGGACTAAAAAAAAAAAAAAATGAACAAATTTTGAACTGAACTATTTCCTAGAGAAGTGTGAAGAATAGGATGGATTGAAATAATTAAAGGCAGAGAAGGGTATTCAAATATGGAATATTCGATTAAAATAATAGAGAAAATGATTATAATAAAGAGAGGAAAATGTGTGGGAAGCGTATCAGAAATTAATTATTCCAAAAGATATAAATTAATAACTGCAATTGAAAACAGAAGGATTAATGTATAATAGCAATGATGAATGATCGATATTTGATAACAACAGACCTGGACATACTCTTTCTCCTTCAGATTCATCAATAATAATCCAACAAAAACTTAAATTTGAATGTTTTATTACCTGCGGAAAGCTAAGTGATTATTATGATATTTAATCTTTTACTAAATGTAATAATTCATCAAATGATTGGCACATAGACGCTGATCTAATAAAATTATTCAGGATGTCACAAATCCTAAACAATTAAAAAAAACAAAAGAAAAAAAAACCTAAAACACTTCCACTTAGAAGGTTTTAGAAATTGAGTAAGCAATTCTGAAAACTGCTTGTGCTAGTGAAGAAGCTAATACCTATAATCTTTCATTTGCAGAAGGCATCTTAAAAGTAAACATCTTTTAGCCATATATAATTTCAGAAGGATAATCTTCCGGAAAATAAAAGAAAAACCGGAACAGGTAAAGCATTTTTCGCTTCTTTTCAACTTTTCCATACATTAAAAAAAAAAATAAGCAAAATCACTGCAGTATATGTATATTCCAAGTAAACTTTGCATTGCAAAGAGTAAAGTTAGATGATATTCTGTCAAAAAAGGATGATTATTAGACTGCCTGAAGTAATCAAATGTCATATAAAGTGGTACGTACATATTCGTACAATATGTCTATGAAAGTTATTCGTATTTTCTGTCTGATAAGTTAGTTCTCTTCGACTGGTTGCTAAAATAGGTAATAAACAAAGAAGCATGGAATAAGCCAAGAAGAGAATATTATATGTTAGTCAAGCTAAAAAACCATCGGATAATATAGATTCTTCATCATCCCAATCAACATCAAATAGTTTCAGTGGTGCATTGAAGCATTGAAGTTAACTGCAGACGTTCGTGTCTGCACAGACATCAAAAATAAAGGGATGAAAAGAGGCTTGAATTTCAAAATTTGTTTATAACATAGTATTTCAATAGAGAAAAAGGATAGTGCAGAGAGGGATGAAAGAGAATGTTGTCACCTAAATGATAAGATAAAAGGGAAAAGTAGGAAAGGAGAAGTTTGAAGATCAAGACCAAGGAAAGATGGATGGATGGATGGATGGATACAGTGACAGAGGGAAGAGAATGAAGCAATGGTACCTGTCTACTTGTCAACTCTTTCTCTTTGTATTTTGGCGACGAAAGGGTCTGTTGTCAGCCAGATACACTCTTTAGATACTTAGTCTTGGCCTGACTCACTCACTCACACAAGCCAACAAACTAGTGGCATATGGCGTAACTTCAGACTCTTACTGCAAATGTGATAAATTCAAACTATAGCTGCAATAAATCGATTCGAAAAGCAGTAGTAGTAGCAGTAGCAGTAGTATTAGTAGTAGTGGTACTGCTATTATTAGTACTGATGATAGCAGTTCCAGAAGACGTCATTCAGAACAGCATTTTCTCCTTAACCGGCACAACCAGTCACCGATTCCATCATATCATCATCACACGTACCGCTTTCTCTATTTCAATGCATTTTAATGATATCCACGTCATATTTAAATATCACCAATAATCCATACAATCTATAATATCGCCCCTCTTTCCTAACCTTCAGATCTTCATTCACACACCTGCACTCACTTCAAAAATCGAAGACATTCGTACTACATATTAGATCATTCCTAGAAAAGTAACATCAAAGGAAACTCTTGACAACCTTACCTCAATGGTAAAAATATCAATTCCACCGAGTACTGTATAATTCCTCATCTTTTCAATGCTAAATCAGACTGCAAATGGCGAATCAAATAAGTGGTAAATGTTATGATTCTCAAAAAATACACTGAGAGGTTCATATACTTCTAATTCCCAACTACAATCATTGACCATTATTCTCTGCATTACATTACAGTAACCCATCAGAACTGTAACATTCATTTACCTGATAAACATACGGCATAGTAGTTTATCTCGTATACAACTCATAAATATAATCTGAAACATTTATAAAACCGTGTTCGATGTTTAATTAAAGTTGTCTTGCTGACTGTGTATACTTATTCATTCCATAATGTCGCCATTGTTTCTCAGGAACAAACGCTTTACTAACAAGGAATCGATTGTCATAAACGACCAATAAATAATTTATTAATCCTCATCATATATCACTTTCTCCAACTTCATCACTATCCCAACTTGATCGAGTTCGGACAACATTTCCATCTGATATGTCACTAGCTCGCTGAGCCTTTATGTACTCATTTCTTCTGTAAGCACATTTTTCCAGTTCATAAAATGGCTTCACATTTGTTTCCTGTTCTTTATTTTGCCACTCATCAGGCGTTTCCTCCATTTGGCTGCTAATCTTCTCGTTGTTCTTGGCAATAAGATTTTTAATACTATCCTCTTCTTGCAGTGTACCCTGTCGTTCAAAATTAAGGATAAATAAAGCACTGAAAAGATTATCACACTAAAATTAAATATAGAATTTGACGTACATTATTTAAACCAAGAAATCATAAGCAACCAAAAACAAGACCAAAAAAAGAGAAAAATACGCAGCCACTTGCTTCTTCTTTCCTTCTTATTAATTTCATTAAACAAATAAAGATCTCACTTTCAGTAGATCTAAGTTATTTCCTTTGGATTCTTTTTGCGACACTTTCACATCTTTTTGCTTGAAGTCGCTTTCATCATTTAAATTCAATTTGGAAATACAGGGAATGATGCTTCCATTTGTCACGCTCTGATCTTTTGATTCATCTGCATAATTTTCACATTTTAATTGAAACTTAGACATAAGTGAGGAATAAGAGATTAGTTTTGATAAGGACTTTGTTTTTGCGACATGGATAATGGAGATGGTTTACTTATTTTGCAAAGAACATCTAAAAAACAACCTGGACAAGAAACGTGGAATGGTTCCGTATTCTTTGTACAATTTTCCGCTTCTGATATTATCTGCAAATTATTTCATAGAGGTCAATTATCAGTAGAGAAAAACAGGAAAAGAAAATATAACTATACCATCAAATCAAGTTCAGTCGGTCTCGGTGGTTCCACCATGTAGCATAAATCGGTTGGAGAAATCCAAGAAAACCCGTGTTTAGCTCGTGACTCAAATACCGAAGACTTATTAAGGCCACAACCAAGCGAACCTAGCAATGACATCGTACTTATTTGACTGTCAGTTAGTCCACCTATAAGCCTTTGTCGTAATGGCTCATGAATGGATGCATCCCATGGCATAAGCCTGAAAATTTTCCAACTAACTTTTTTCACCGCTAATCTACACCTAATAAAGCATACTAGATCTAGAGTGACGAGAAGTCTGATTGGTAAGTGAAAGAGAACCCCAAAATAATAAACGAATGTTGAAACTATCTGTTTTATTTGGATAAATTGATTGCAGTGAAAATTTCAAAAGTCGAAATCCAAGTGATGAATATATATTAACATGACTAAAGAAATACTGTGTAACACCTACCTAATGGCATTTGCATCGTCCACGTCAACTGGTTCATATATAACAGACCGACTTTTCCTACAAAATATTTTCACATCATAAAAATGAAAAATGCTCCAAATTGTTTTATACTATATGCTATTTACATATTAGGATGTAAAATCAGGTCTTTACCCTCAGATCACATCATTCATCATAAGAATGATATGGTTTGAGGTGAAAAGACATAATTTTGCAAAGAAAATTTTGTTTACTTAATAAGTTCGCTGGCACGTATTCTATATAATTCTCTGTTATCACGAAGTAATGTTGCTGCTTCGGTGTTAACGCATGTCGCTGGATTTGAATCAAATGTGAAAAATGTCCTCTGAAAATTAACAAAATTCGTTTATTGAAAAAAAAAAAATCGCCTGCTTGTTTGATTTTTCTCTTTTTCATCCTTACAACAACTAACGTATGGTATAATTTATGATAGTTTACTACGATTTTAAAATAATGCTACTATGTCACCTTCTAACTGAACCTTTTTCACAAAGTAAAATCAAAATAAACAGATGCAGTATATACCTGTACAATAAGCAAAATGTGGTAGAGATGATGTTGCTCAGATTTCCAACCGTCAACAAAATACTTTTTCAAATCTAGTTCTCGCGTAGCTGGATTAACATGTGGATGAAACACGTCCAAATCGAAAACTACTGTCTGTAAAAACATAAAAGGATGAAATATAAATTATAGTTCCTAATAAAATGATAACGGTACCGTAAGTTTCTAAACTTCAACGACGGTTGCGTTTCATGGGTTCCTATAAGATTTTTTTCAGTAATGAATGTTTCTATGTCAAATCCACTTATAATATACTAAAGATTTCAGCTTTCGGTTGAGAAAAAATGATATATGAGATAAAAAACCTTATAGACTTTAACAAATAGCAATATGAAATGTGTTACCGGTAACTCCGCCGATGGAAAATCCATGGGAAGATGCAAAGTGAAGCGAATAACAGCACCAGCATAGACACCCCGTCGAATAAACAACAAACCGAACCATTCTAAAACAAGGCAAAATGTAACTGATCAAAAAGCAGATTATTCAAGACAAATTCAAAACCGAAGTGTTAGTCCAGCTGTTCATACATTTGCCTCCATAAATGATGAAATATACACAATACACAACAACAATATCTATGATGAAATAAGTTTCACCAACATAAACACAACACAAACAAATTTAAAGTTCAGACAATAAACAAAGAAAAGAACATATTGGTCAATGTTATGATTTGTGGGGCTAGCTTATATGCAATAAAGGTTTTTTTTTTTTCTTTTGTTACGTCCAATATGATTTACGTAAAACATTCCGCAACTAAAGATTTTGTTCCTCATAAAACAATATTACAGAATGAAATGTTAATGCCATATTTAATGATGCACTAAAACATACACTCTAACAAATACATATGGTGGAAAGAACAGTATCGAATTACCGAACTTGTTTCGAGCACTCGGTACTGCATATAAACCATCTATTGGATCTCGGCAAATCATCGCACTGTAACAAGTATTATGAATAATATATAAATATATGGAAAACTATACAAAACTTACTACTCAGACATGATAATATGCTCGGTAATCAGCTCTCGTGATAATTGGAGCGGTTCAGTCGGCGCCATCTCGGTAGCGATCTCGACACCTTCGGTATCCCCGAAATCACTTCTTGATGGAAGAAACAAACTGTTCCGACGTTTCATACGAATAAGAGTGACAAAAATTCCTTGTCCACAAAATATTTTAATTGCCACAGCCTATAGCCATGTTCCTGACTAATCCGAATAACGAAGAGCACTCTTAAACAAATATGTTAAAGTAATTGGTCATTTAATGAACTAAATTGTTCGTGAAAATAAAATAAAATATATAAAATAATCGAAGTGTTAGAATCCTCTAACATCCTCAAAGACTAGGTTAGGAAACTATGAACAAACCGATGCAATAAATGAGTTAACACAATTCTAATCTAATCGGTTATATACGGGGCAGACTGCACAGAAAGCATCAAATCATCATTATTTAGCAAGCAATCATAAAAACTAGGATTTCATGGAATTCAGTGACTAACATTCACTGAAACAGTGATGTATAATAACACAAAACCACCCAAAGGCTGCTTGCAGGCTAGCATACAAATTATGTTGTTAATAATGATAAAAAAAGATTCTTTATTTCATATTATATAACATGATACAGCGAATCGCATACAAAAAGAAAAACATTATCAGCAAGATTCAATCGCTGAATCACTTAAACTTCCATGCATACGATACAGATCGCATCTTAATGAATACAAATTGTAATAACCTATCTATGTAAATGATTAATAACTAAAAAGATCCCATCTCGGCATCAAAAGATCAAAAGCTAAGCCCATTCGGAATACAAACTATTCTAGTTTGATCTCACAAAATGGTACAAATATAACTTCACTGATTTGTTAATAGAATATATTACTTTCGACCTGGCGGGACGTATCCAGCATAAATCCCCACTGGCTTCTGTGCAAGTAATGTCGGAATACTGAGAAGGACAGTCATTAGTGGTATTATTGCGAGTATTTTAGCTATCTTGCTAAGGAGAGCAGACAAAGGTAGCGCATTTTCGGGTGCCATACCTTTCAACTCGGTGTTAATCTGAAAAAGACGATTTATGCATTTTGTTGCAGACAAAGAAAAGAAAAACTAAGGAAGGAATGACTTCATAAACCCGTCCCATAAGTAAAGAGTTACAGAAATAAACTAAAATCGACCGAGTTTATACCAGACGACTGCAAAAGTGACGTGCAGCCTCCAACTCAGTCAGAAATGCAGTGAAACTCAGTTCATGAAACTGGGTAGAAGTAGCGTTTCTTAATGCACTTCAAACGAGTCAAAACTTCCTAAATTTTTGCGGAAATTCTTCAAGCTTTTCCCAGTAGAGAAAGGAACATAGGAAAACGGATAAAAATTATTAATTGGATGAACAATAGAAAAAACTGACGGCAAACTTATTGCAAAACTAGAATCTACTACAGGAATTGAATTCCTTATATAATGGGAATAAAATCCTCGTTTTGTTAAGAATATGCGTCAGCATATCTCTCTGTCTTGAACTTTTACTGTTCAACGCACTAAGTTTAATTTTTAAGAGGATTTCTAATTTTTTAAGAGCATTTCTAAGAAGAATCGAAGCATTAACTTACAAAGAATTGCTGGGATATTTCATGCAATCCTGGTTTGTAGAGACCATATTTGCCCATCACAAGCTTACCCACTTTCGTTCCTTCCGGTAGTTTTGGCAACAGACGTCCTCCTACCTGAAAAGTACTTAATATTGAAAACCAACATATCTGTAGGAAAAGAATTATAACTCCAAAATAACCGAAAAGTATTAAATGCTAAATGTTAAAAATTGAGCACAATTCCATGAAAATTAAGTAGTACATACGGTATAATACGCAACTGCAATGCAAAGTTTTCATTTTTACAACAATAATAAATTAGAACTAACGCCTAGTTGCCATTCGGTATGAACAAGCGGATTCCATTCAAGAACAGGAGGTGGTTTCTTCCCAGAAATTCCACTGCCAGTAGCTCCTCCACCTACGGTTATTTCAGGAACAACAGAAGCCTTAATACTTGTATGCAGTGAGCCAACCTGTTGACACTCTTGACTGCTTAGACCGATACTCCACTTTACATTGGCTACATCACATTCTCGAAGTATTTTACTCGGCACACTAACCCCTTGTGACAATCCAACCTTCAAATAAACAGTTTTACACAACGCTGACATAAATACTTATATACTTCAATTCTCATTTTTCTATCTACTTTATTTTGCGCAACTTCTATCTTTTACGAACGGATTAACCTCAAAAATCAAGTCCTGTAACAAATACTTGCAAAATTTATCTACCTCTGGTAGTGCGGTCTCTGGTACCGGAAGTAAACGATTGGCAAGTGGAGAAAAGCGAAAACGTACCATCGATTCCAATCAAATGGTAACCTAGAATATGACTGTGTAGTGCAACAGGTCATAGTTCGAAGGTACTTCATTACAAAACCCATTGCAATAGCAAAGAGGACAATACATCATTCTTGGATCTTTTTATTTACTGTCAACTAGTACTTCTCAATAATTAATGGCTTTTAAGAAGAGAACAGCAATGGTAGTAGCCTTTGAACACTTTCTGATTATGATGCCTATAGCTATTGGGTGAAAGTAATTCTCAATTTTCTTCTAGCAATTTGATGAATAGCATATAAATTCAATGCCTATCTATCTTTCCATTACTACATTTTATACAAGAGAATAGCCTGACACGTTGTCCTCAATACGATGATTTATCAGTCTGTTTGGTTTATTAGTGGTACACATTATATCCTTTTGGTACAATCTAAAGGCCAAAAGACTACCGCGAAAGTAAGCCAAGAACCGCAGGAACCAACTGCGCCCCGCACAACAGAATACCGTCCGGTCAATCTTGCGACAGTCAGTCTTGTGACAGTTCCTTTCAGTAGCAGTTAAATAGCATGGGAGAGAGAGCAGAGATGGATGAGGTTTAACATATAAAATATAAATGGAGATGCTAGAGATTAAAAAAGATAAATCGGAAATAACGCTCCAAGATAAAGTCCAGAGACAAATGACGTCGAGAAATATAGCGATTTTTGAGAGACAGCAGAGATTGATGTAATTTAAAATATAGGATGTTTCTAGGAAGCATATGAGGGTGAAAATAGTAATAGAGCCGTGGCAGAGATTAAAAATGTGACTTGAATTAATATACGCCACGTGGGAGTCAGGGATGGAGAGAAAGGAAAAGAATCAGACGTGTTTCGAAAGATTCAAACCGCTAATTTGTAATTTTCATTATTATTTCGAGATGACTTTGTTTTTGTTTACATGTTTAGTAAGGTCGTCTGTTACGCTAGGAATCGACGATTGAGTTGTAGAAATGCAGAACCTTTAGCGGAAGTTTATAAAGTGAAGTAACATATTGTTAGGAATTAAAAGTATTCAAGAATTAAGGAAAATTTATTAGCAAAGAACTGCTATAGTGCTGTTTAACTGTGACTGAAGATTTCATTCAACTCTTTTGTATTACCAAACTTGATTATTTTATATAATGAGGTGTAATATAACTGTTAGATAGTTTTAAATAATTCTCTGATAATATGTAGTTTTATTTAGATTGATGTTATAACTTGTCGATTTCTTTTTAGGTTGTAGAAGAAAGTTGTAGAAGAGAGAAAGAGAAAAACTTAAAGTGGTGATAAAAAAGAGTCTGAAGGTGAGGAAGAATCGAAAGAAGAAATGGAACATATGGAAGTTAGTGGTAATGCAGATGGCAGTGATAATGATGATGAGTAAGTATTCCTATATTTTTTATTCTAATAGGTTTTGCATTTGAAAATTTATCACAAAGAATGGGAAGTATCCTTTTATGGAGATAAAAGTTTTTTGGGACATATTTGATGTTGAATTTTTGTTTTCCATCATACGGGACCTATTGTTCAACATCAATGTAGAAAGTACTTTTATTTTGGCATTTCGTAAGTCTTATTGAGAAAAATCGAAATGAAATGTTATGTAGGAGTGAAGCTAGCAGTAGTGGAGAAGAAAGTGTTGAACTTATGGTTACCACTCGTGAGAAACGTGCAAACGCTGGTAATAAGATGGCACAGTTGTTGGAATCCGCCGAGCTAGAAGATGAATTTTACAGGAACACCTATGGTGGTAGATTTCTTGAGGTAGTTCTTTTTCTTTTTTCCTTAACTATCAGTCAAGTAGGTCTGGACTTTACTTCACATATTAACAAGTGTATGTAAAAAAAGCAGCAGTTAAGTGCTGATGCCTTACAAATGAAAACCTGCAGATCACGATTTTTATTGCTATTGATTTTTCAAGAGAAAAATTCTTTGTTTTATTTGCTCTGACTTAAATGTAAACTATTTAGATACTTAGCATTTTAGAACACTACGAGACTAATTACCGTTTGCTACTTTTCAAGCAAGGTTTTTTGCTTCAAATTCTTTTTGCTATTGGAGTTTTTGGGTAACCACTGAATCATTTTTCATTCCTTTTCAGGATGATGTTGATGATGCATTCGAATCACCAGTGGAATCGGATCATGATGAAGTAGATTCTGACTTCGATCATCCTGAAGAGGAAGACGAACCAATTAGCGATGCGGAAGAAGAATCCAAACGACGGAAACGAAAAACTGGTTATAAAGTGGTTTTACTATAAATATTAATAATAATATAATTATCTTTTTTAGTAGTTCAAAAGAGTAAAAATAAACTTCTGTTTGATTTCCAACTATGAATTGGTTTCAGATACATTTTATTGAAGATTGTTCTATTTTCTTAGGAACCGAAACTGGGTGGTAGTGCTTCGAAGAGAGCTTTGTTAGAGAAAAACAAAAAATGGGTCATGGCACGAATGGGTTGCCTTACTGCAGTCGCCAATACTGTCAGTCCTGAAACTCAGGTATGTTTCGTCCTCATATTATTCCTTATTTTTGTATGCGTTAAGATTTATGTCTAGAATAATTGTAAAAAAGGCTATTCATCGTCAAAAATCGAGATGTTTATTGTAGCTTAACTTTGATCATGTTTTTGTTCTAGGCACAATATTTGGAAGAAGCCAAGGAAACAGAACGGAAAAATGTTGCATCGTTAAAGAAATATGAACAGTTCGAGCTGGAAAAGAAAAAGAAACGTGAAAAAACAAATGTTATTAGGAAATTGAAACCACCTTACATTAGTACTATGGATGGCCCAAATGGCAAATGGATAATTGTTCCAGAGATCAAAAAATTTACAAAACCAGAAAGAGTGGTGAATTTTTTCTATCCATTAAATTCCTCATTGCGCCACTTACATCTAAAAAGCAATTGTATCTCAGTGCAGTGTGAGGATAACAAGAAATTATATATTTTATGCCTGCTACTCAATTCCGAGAAATTCAGCATGCAACTCCATATTATTTTTATATGCCATTATTTTCCAACCGAATGGAAATAATTTATTTGTAATGAACAGAAGACTTATTTTACTTGCATCTTAACACTTCTTATCATCAATCACTAGAATTTACATTCGATCTCTTTCATATCAATGTCGTTCTATTAGTATGCACGAAAGATCATTTCAGGTAAAACTGCTTTGTTGTGTAACATCACGTCCCGCAAAGTATCGCGACCCATTAACTGGTTTACCATTTGCAACTCCTGAAGCATTTAAGCTTATTCGAGAAAAGTATGCAGAATATTTGAGAAGTATGCCTAATCATCCGGCAGTGATGGCGTGGCTTTCCAAAAAAAGTTGATCCCGTGTTTCTTTATCTAATTGTCCATGTGTATCTAGATTTATTAAATTTCTAGATAGAAGTTACATGTGAAATATTAGCAATACGTGTGTGAATTCATCGATTTCTGATAGAAGTTTGAAAGATGTAATTTAATAATTTAATAGCTCCACAAAATTCTCGGATAAAATAGTACAGATACGCTCAGGATACGATAATGATAGCAAGAAAGATATCCATACATTCTTTCCTTCGCCATCCTTTTCATGTTGCAATGTTCACAGCAACAGTGCTCATTTATAGATACATACAAATAAAGAGTACTATTTGATTTGTATTACGTATTAGACAAATTTGAGGGTTTCATTAGTTCCTTGACTATTGAGAATAGCAAATTTAAACGCAAATATTTGTCACATATCGTATACGCCCTCATCATAAATGTACATGCTGTGATAAAAGTGTACTTCCAAATCGATCAAAAAAAAACTACCGAATAGTTTGATAGGTGAATAAGGTAAATCATCCAATTGATTCTTTAAGATTTATAACTCAAACAACGAAAGTGAAAATACCGCTGCGTTTAAACTGTAGGGCATGCAACATTTGATGACAGTAATTGAGTTCAGTTTTTCTCTTTATTCCGTATTTTATGTTTCTGCAGCTCACACTTTCCTCCACTACGTGATCGTACCACAAACTTCCAAACCAATCATCGCTTCCTTAGTTTGAGAAACAAAATCCCAACTTGGGACATTCGCATCAAATAAGTGATGCACTTTACGTCTTCCAGTGAATAGTGAACCGTTAGGAGACTCAAGAAAAACCCACCAAGAAAGAGCCCTTTCCTGACATACAATTTGGAAGTGAAAATTTATAGCGAAAATTATCAGAGATTCTGGACTGTTTAAGGCGGCGGGAATTCCTCCTACCAGTGCATTTAATCTCATTTAAATTATGCTGCTCTGTGGTTCCTTTCTTTATTGGGAGAGGAGAGAAATTCAATTTAACATCATAAAAAAGACGTGTAAAACCTTGCAAAAATTTTCCTACGACCTGTATAATCATCGCTATCTTCTCGTTCCTCATGGAGTTGCTGACTACTTAAATAAAATCTAATTTTAATCTATGCCACTTCCTCGATTAAATCCAGTGTTGTCTCGAGACGAGAAATTTGCTGAATAACATCATTGTTGAGCGACTGAATAGTTTTAATATTAAATGGAGTGTTGCAAGTTTAATTTTTGCTTGCAAGCTATAACATTCGTCCAGAACGAAGAGTGAAAATATACAACTTTTCGTAATAAAAATGCAAAAATCTACCGATTAAATCATAGTTTTATGGACTTGGACCTTTTTGAATGCATCTGGAACGAGGGGGAGATGAGTTGTACATTATCAAAACAAAAGATAGTTTTTTCCAGTACCAAAAAGAAGAAAGGCCACCTCGATTTTTGGGAACGAAAACTACCGACTTATGACTCTCATAAACAAGGAATCTACAACAAATTTACAATAAGTTTAAGATTTGTGGTTCGAGTCTTAAACTGAACGACTCGGTAAAATGGTATAATATCATTAATAAACAATCAAGAGACATAAGGAGAAAGGAGAAAAATGTGTTATTTCAAAACTTGAAATCTTTATACTTCTTCTGTTGTTGCGTTGATTTCTTTTGTTCCTGTACCTTTCTTTTACGCTGCAAAACAATTAAAATCAGAGCTGAACAGACAAAGAAGGGAAAAGCAAGTAAAGTTTTATCGCTAACGTTCTGTTTAGCAGAATGCTCAGCCACCATATCTGAGAAATCTTCATCATCGTCCTGACGTCCACGAGTCTGTTTTCGCAACTGTTCTTCATACTTCTTCTCCAGACCCTTTTGATCAGCTAGATCAAGGTCTTCAGGATTCAACGATACTTCTACTCCAGCATCTACTCCTTGCGATGCGGGTGCCGGAGTCGGTTTTTTCTAAAAAAATAGACAGTAATAGAAATTCCATCTACAAAATACCCGAATTTCATTATGCTATTTAAAACTAAGAAGCACTATTCTGCTGATGAATACATTAAGAAAGAAAAGGTATGAGATGAAAAAAAAAAAAAAAAAAAGGCTCTTGAATAAAAACTCACCGACAAATCATAAACATGAGTGCTGGCCATCATTTGTCCCGCGATACGATCAATCTTACGTTCTTGAAGTACCGTATAGAGTGCTGGTGCAGGAGTTTCACCACCTGTTGTGCTGCTAAAATTTTAATTTAAACCATAGATTTTCAACTTCTTAAAACAGGACTTAGTAAATTAAAAAGCATCCCAGAAATTATTTTCTTTAACAGTAACTCAGCATAACACGTTTCAAGTATTTATTTTTCCTGAACTATTATGCCCTCGCGTCTTATCCGAAACCGAATTTTATTTTATTTCTTTATTTGCTAAACTAAAGAAGACGAAAATATTGAAAACCCAAGAAACCTGTCTTCTATCCGCTTGCCCTTTCGCAATTCAATGGTATCCGGAGTTTCAACACCGGTAAGAACACCCGAAGTCATTCCTGATGGTGTTGCAAAACTAAAAGAAAAAAGATTATCATTTCCTTATCTTTGAACTACTACTAATGTGATTTGGAAATAAAATGATGCAGTTCCAACGAAGTAATTTTTTCTTCTTTACAAACAATGGAAACATAAAACTTTTGAGTCAGCTGCATTCCGTTAGATGTTAATTTTCTATCTTTAACATCATATAATACTGAGGTACAAATAGAACTAACCCTTCGGTAGTAGCAGGAGTAACGAAGCCTGCTTCAACCCCACCACCCTCACCTTCCTCCTCTTCTTCACTTTCCTCACTAGAATCCTCATCACTACCTATTTCACCCCAATGCCGTCGTTCTATTCGTGATTCGTCATCCAATTCTGGCAACGTTGGAGCCTGAAAAAGTATACCATGTTTATAAAAATGGAGCCAAATGCAAAATATTAACGTTAAAAAATTCTATAGAAACGATTAACATAACATATACACTAAACAATGAGACAAGTTACTAGATAAAAAGGCTTTCATGAAGATTCATACACTAAATACATAAGTATAACTTTCTAGACATCCAATTCAAAGTAACAAATATACAAGTAATTTTAAAAGTTTTCTATAACATCCTTCCGTTATAGATATTGAAAATGTAATTTTCAGCGAAAAAATTCTAAAAATGCAACTTGACAATTATTAAATTGCAACCTCAAGGCCGAACACATCACCATACAACGGCTTTCCCATTTCATCGACCGGAGGTTTACCCCATCCACCAGCATGATAACCAAATGCACATCCTTCAGGAATGGGGCAATTCAATCCTGGTATTTTCAAGTTCGGATATGATGGTGGTGGTCCATACCGCTGCATTGCAATCAACCAGGGGGGCGGAAATTTGTGCGCGTTCTGAAAGATAAGCAATAACACCAGTAACTTATGTTAAGAGATTTTTCCCTTCATGAGTGCTGAATGACACTTACAGGACCAACAGGCATCCCTAGAGCAACTCGTAGTTCATCGGTCAGTTCACCTGGTTTCTTCTCACGCATGACGGTTTCCAACTCTTTACCTTCATAGTACAATTCACCCATCTGAGTCATCACAGGTTTTGTTTGCCATTTAAAAAAAGCATCATGCAGCTTTTGATAATCGATATCAATACGGCCAAGTTTCGGTCTTGCACGTTCACGCATCTTTGATTTTAACGACTGAGCATCTTCCTATAAAGAATGGTAAGTAAATAATAGGAAATTATGAGTAAAAACCTAAGCGACACATGACGTGTCGTGTCATATTGAAAGAAGGAAACTTCAATTATAAATTTTTTGTTGCCATATTCATAGGACTGATGCAATTAAAGTGATGCAAATTTGTTTAAGTTAAAAAAAAAAGAACGTTCAAAAACCTCAGATTAAAAACAAATATGAAGGAACTTACTTTTTCCCACATTGTTTCACGCATTTCCATTATACCCGTCCTCTTGATAAAATCGGGCAAGTCGAACGGAGGTCTTTCAAAACCCCGCTTGCCTGCCAGATATTTCCTCTTAGCATTCCAATGTCTCGGTACAGGTACTGTATTTCTATACGCTTTCAATGTAACCAGGAGATGAGGATCACGTGAAGTGACATCTGCCCATTCTACTACATCTGGTCGTGTAGTGACCTGAGATATTATGTAACATCTAATATGGTGGTTATAAAGAAAAAATTTAAGCACCACACAATAATTATATCAAAGATGAATATACGAACATACATTTTAAATTTAACCTTTCTATACTTAAAAGTTGTGCAACTGAGGAGAAAAAAATAAACTTATTTTCCTTTTTTATATCTTCGAGTACGCAGAAACTCAGTCACAACAAATAACTGAAATGCATGACTTAGAAATAAACAAATACGTTCTTCTGAGTACCTCTTTCAGTTCAGCAATAGTCGGTTGCATAGACAGACGAAGTTTTCTCTTGCTCAGGGTTTGTGTTTGCCCGGCCTCCTCTTGTTCACGCTGAAAACTGTTTTTGAAACTATGAAACGAATAGCACTGGTTGACAAATTCTACAAAAAAAAAAGACGCACTTTTAAACATTTTTTAAGATCCATCTACTTCCCAATCCATAAAGGGAGAAAGGAAATCCATCTACTAACTCCCGGAAAAGAGGAGAGAAAATCTTTCAACAATTACCCGTTTTTCACTCATTTCTTCTTGCAAAATCTTTTCCGAAATGGAAGCCTTCGTTGGCACTTCTTCTTTCTTCGTTTCTGGTTCAACTTTCTCAACAGGTTCCTCCTTTTTTACTTCCTCGCTTATCTGCATAATTTATGTAAAACATTAATATCACTAAAAAAAAAGACACACTACAATAACCTATTACGTCTTCCAGTATGTTCTGTGTTTCAGGAAATGAAAGCTTTTTGTTCTGGCATCATAATAACCAGTGTATTATGCATTTACAAACTAGTGACTACTCCAGATTACCGAATGATTCTAAAAATCTTATGAAGCAAATTGAAAATGATAGCAATTTCATATGCAGTCTAGGACCGTCAGTGTAAGGCAACAAAACGATATGGAACCTTGAAACTTTCAAAAACTTTCGAGAAGTAGTGGTAGTTTGGATCACTGGGGTCTAACTCTAGAGGTTTTCCAACATAAATCACTTCAACACTATCATCATTATCACTGCCAGCTGGAGTTTTATCAATACCTAAATTTCATATTTTTAAGTTTCAGACTTAAACTGCAAAAAAAAAACTAGATTATATTTAGAAAATGCAAAGGAAAAAAAACTAAATAGTATATATTTACTTTTTTTAAAATATATTTTACCATTTACAAATACTCATAACAGACAAATGCATGAAAAGGTGGTTAAAAGAAAACATCAGAACCTGAATCCGAATTTCTAGCACCATCTTCTCCATTCGTTAATCTCAAAACCTTTTTCTTCTTCGATTCCTTTTTTTTCTTGTTTTTGTTTCTCCTTCTTTCCAGTTCCTAAGGAGAAAAGCAAAATGAGTACACATTTCATCACTCACTCTCATCGGTCCAAAACAACAATTTCGCTCATGGAACCATGAAAATACATTAACCAAAAGTTGCTCCGATAAAAAAAAAATGCTTCATATTGTTTTGGGCAGAATTTTATTAACCAACCTTCAACTCTTTTTTGGTAAGATTTGGAAGAACATCCTCTTCCGATGGATCAATCACTTCAACTTCTGTCATTTTCCGAACTGACGACTTTGTGCAAAAGGCTGAAAATTACCCCACACTCCAATAAATGCAAATTCTCATAAATACAAACCTATTTTATTCTCAATCATTCATTCTTCCACATCTCATTTGTCATACACGAAAAGCATTTCCTCCCTTCATATCAAATCATCACTTCATTAAACTAATTGCTAACTGCTAA